TACTTGGAGGAAACTCCCAGTCACACACCAACCCGTCCTCAAAGATACAGCTTCGTCCCATCATGAAAGTCCAAGCAACGTCTAAATTCTCCAGAACGTTCAGCTGGGGCGACTTTTACTCAAACATCAAAACCGTCAAACTGAATTTGCTGATAATGGGCAAGATTGTGGATCACGGGAACGGCTCTCTTGGAGTCTACTTCCGCCACAACTCCACAGGTGTTGGCAACGTGTCCGTGAGCCTCGTCCCACCGATGAAAGAGGTGGAGTTTGATCTGGAGCGTCAAAGCGTGGTCAACCCCAAAGACTCGAAGACGTTCAACTGCAGGGTGGACTTTGAGAAGACAGAACGCAACAAAAAGGTGATGCTGTGTAACTATGACCCATCCAAGACATGTGCTCAGGAGCAGACCCAGAGCCACGTCACCTGGATGTGCTCCAAACCATTCCAAGTCATCTGCATCTACGTGTCTTTCTACAGCACTGACTACAGACTGGTACAAAAAGTGTGTCCAGACTACAGCTACCAGAACCCAGCATCCTATCTGCCAACAGGCTAACCAGACGTCAAGGACACAAGTGTAGGGCAATGTTTCATTAAATCCACAAAGAATAAATCCAGTGTGAGCAGCTAATAACTGGTCTGACGGACGTAGGTTTTTGAAAGGAAGTTTAGCTTTACTCTAGAGAATATGTTTATCTTATTGATCAATTACTTTAAAGTAGCTTATATGTATTTGGAGCAATATCTTACCTGTTGTAGACTACAAGAGTTGTATCAGACTGGTTTTGTGAAATGCATATAATCAGGGCTGCAACTAACGATTGTGTTCATTATCGATTGAAGTGACAATTATCGTTTAATCTTTTGGTTTTATGAAATGACAAAGTTGCAAAAAAATGCTCATCATGACCTTTACTATCACATAAGACAAGGCTGGAGCTAGGTAATGTTTAGCATTTTATTATATTTATTAAAGACGTGAGCGATCAATCAATCAAGTCATCCGTTTTGTTCTACACATACTTCATCCAATAACACTTTGTGTGAACTAGATAATAGCACGTTTTTCTGTTTGTAAGGGCTAATATATCATCACTCTTTCATGGCCTTTATTTGTAGATATATCAGGATGCAATGCTTTTACAACACTCTTCTGTTGCATTTACCTTGTACACTTTAGTCATATGTGATCCTTTCTATCTTGTGTATTTCATAACACTCTTTACTGTGTGTTGCCCAAATAAAAACAAACATGATTAAAAACTAAAACCAATACAGAGTTACCAAGAGAGTCCTTCAAACCAGGAGTTCCTAACCTTTAAGGCCCACCTGTGATTGTTACTTTGCCGAGGATCACCTTCCCAAATAAATGAGAAAAAAACATCGCATCACAAAATAAAGAGGGCTGTATATGTGTTATGCAACTGTCAGCTGTAATGACCAAAATAAATATTGTGCTTACCCTCACTCATCACCATCAGCATTATAAATCAGAATTTTTTCATTTGGTATTTTTTTATTTGGTACGATCAGTGCTTGGATTGTTTTTACATTGACAACTCACTCGTGAGGATGTTTAGACCATCTAGACTACAAACAACAAAATGAGAGAGCGATATGGCTCAAAACTACATTTTGTTGAAGCATCTGTATAGGATGTTGTTTTCTAGAAGTGAAAGGCAAATTATTTTATGTCCTCATTAACACAACCAGTGTTATTTCTATAAATAGCATTATATTTGTAAGTGAAAGTGGAGGAAATGTGTGCTCATTCAGGTAACTGATTTTATATGCTAAACATTCAACCGTTTTCTAAAAGGCACAATACCTGGTCGTATTGATCATTATTCTCTTTTTGTCTCTTATTCCCCCCTTTAAGCTTAATAGGCTACGTAGCCTTGCTGGGGTGCTCTGCAGCTGTTTAGAGAAAAATACTGACTATCTTTGTTTTAAAACCACCTCCATCATAGCAGGGATAAAGCATCCTGACAGCTGGGAATGTTACTGCCAGATACTGTTCAATAAGAAAGAAAGCTCACACAAGTATTACATGAAATACACAGAAGTATAAATAAGGCACACGTATTTTGGAGTAGTGGACTGCAGTAAAGCGCCCGGGAACTACTTTGGGATTCAATGTCTCACTGAAGGACTCTTCGATATGCGGACAACAGAATTTAGGGAACGAGAAAACAAACATTCTGCAGATACAACCTGCTAAATAAGTTTTGAGCCTTACCGCCCTCCATAGTACAGCAGGGATACGAGCACAGCATCTCTGGAGCGAGCTTTATGTGAACGCGAGCCTCCTTCGCCGTTTGGACGGGGACAGGACTAGGGGGGGGGGAAACAGATCTTGATGGGGACACAGGGTTCAATTCAACACTGGCATGTAGGCTGTAACAAATGTCTTTTTGTTTTTGCATTCGAAGGTTTTCAAATCTGTTCACATTTTTTCATAAACCTAAAAAAATGGGGAAAATATAATTTTGTGTTATTGTGGTTATATAAATGTAATTTATGGTGCCATTAGATTTCTGCACCACCTCATTAGTACAAGGGCGTTCATTTTAATCCAATCTGATGTTCTTCACTAAGATCAAAGCGCTGTCCGAAGAAACGGAGCGTTGCATTTCTATATGAATTAACAAACTGATAAATTAAAATGGATTAAAGAAAACCTTTTCAATCGATGTGTATGGTGCCCCTCCAAGCAGAAACGAGATTTCATTCAGAATATGATGAAAAATAGCAAAACCTTTACGATGTAGACGAAGTTGAATTTGCCATTATTGTGTCTGAAATAGAGAAAAGCCTGTAACGTCTACTGCACAACAGCGCCCTCTGGTGGGGCCGTGCCCCTAACGCAAAAACACAGATGCCAATAAGTTAGAAAACGTTGGCTGTAGCTAACATCAGGAGTTGGGAAAATGTAATGTTCAGCTTTGCTATAAATGTTATTAAATAGTATGGCACACAAGTCTGCTTCATAATAAGCTTTACGACACTGAAATTATTTCGTTTGAGTCATTACACTAAATATCAAAACACTTGTCGTTCTCCCTGAAATGTCCTCAATTTAGGTGCGACTGGTTTCTGTGAAGTCCCAAAATGAAACGTCTTGTTTTATGGGACAGCTGAAAATAAATAAAAAACATATAAGTCATACAAAAATAACAGACACAGTTTGCATTGCATTCAATACAAAATAGTTGTGGTTTAATCTTTTGGGAACAAAAAAATGGCAACAACTAAGTGTCACTTCTCATAACTGGCAATATCTACAGGAAAGAAATAGCGGTTCCTTCTATCAAATACCATTTTACACCAGGCTAAAATGATAACTTCAAATGTATTTCATGTGGTTTGCCTTGGTGTGCATTTTGTTCACATTCGGTCGATTCTGAACATTAAAACGTGTTCATTTCAATTTAATTCCCCCTCAGTCTTCATGCCTGCAAAGAAAACATCTCTCTCCCAATTTAACGGTTGAAAATGCTTTTTGTTTCCACAGCTTCAAAAACACTTGCGTCTGTACAAATTCCTATGAAAAAAATAGAAATGACAGTTCTGAGGAGAAAAAAACAAATAAGAAATCAGTCATAAAACAACATTTACATGCCTGACTGATTCCTAATGTTATTTTTAAACCATTTCTTAACATTATTTTTCCCTCCATTTGTTTGTCTAATGACACCTCGGATTGTATTTTCTCTCAAGGGCTACGAAGACAGATCCACACACAAAATACAATTTTCCCAGGAAGGACATCCAGCTGTGCGTTTCTGTATCCTCTCTATGCTGATTCTTTCCCCCCCGACTATTTAAAAAAAAGAAACGGATGCAGTTGAAGCAGAGTTCTATGTGAGAGTACAGCTGATACATCTTCTTAAAGGGTACTTTGTTCTTGGTGGTCCAGCTGGGTCTTTAGTCCATGAAGCTTGCTTCAATGTGTGCTTGCCGACAGTATTTCTACTTTACTGCTGGTAAGAGTTGAGGAAGGGTGATCTGTGACTTTAGTGCAATGTTTTCCCAACTTTCTTTGGGAGGATTAACGATGAGTTTGTCCCATATCTGCTTTTTTTGACTAGCCCTTGGTCGTCTTTCTCGAGGGGGGGAGGGGCTTCTAGTTTGTGACTAACAGGCCCACTTCTTCTTTAGTCACTCGCATGTGTCCATTAGATTGGGGACGTGTCCTACTGCTCTACTCCAAGCACTAAGAACAGAGCAAAAAGAAGCCTTTTGATGAAATAGACAGTTAAAGACTTAATTTATCTGCACTTTGTCCTTCAAACCTCCAGATTTCCAGACAGTTGGTTCTTTCTGGATTGCTGGTTCCAGTCCCCCCCGAATGGATTCCAAATTAGGAACTAACAGGATGTCAAGGGATTTAGCCTTCACACACGGAAAAGAGCACAATGTCAGGCACCTCACTAAGCCAGCGCCGAAGAGTAAGGGGGGGGGGGAGATAGGTGTTATTTTAGTAAACAACAAACATCCACTTCACAAGCCCACCTGCCCCTCTCTTCCACCGCCTCTTCCGCTTTCTTCTTCCCTCCATCTTTAGAAGAGACTAAATACAGCAGGTTTGTACGGGGCAGAAGGGGGAGATTCGGGGGAGGCTGTCTGTAGTAGGTAACAGCAAGGGGAAAGGTTGCCCCTGTCTGAGGGGAGGGATCTGTGTGTCTTTCTATGTATATGCATGTGTGTATATGTATCGGTGTAGACGTCTTGCTGTTAGGATTGTTTGAGGCGCTTGCGTGGGGGTCCCAGGAAAGGGCACTGGGCTGAAGCCAGGGAGCGGTAAGCTTCGGCCACCAGGTGTGGATGAGATGCCACCATGGACTTCCAACCTGCTGTCTCCATCACCTCTGCAGCATGACTGGAGGGTGGAAACAAAAAAACAGTTTAGGGAAAAACAATTGGTATAAATAATATATTGGTTAATAATAGATTATTTTCTTGATTACAGTATTGGCCCAATATGTTTTTTTTATGGATCTTCTTAAATTCGAGGACAAAACAATTACATTTGAATTACAATTAGTTTTGAATGGAGAGAGTATCGGGGTACCACTTGCCCCTACGGAGTGTGTTGCATTGTGGGTTGTTTGTAGCTGGGGTAGCAAATGTCTTCAAGTTTGTCTATAGTGTTAAGAGTTAGTAAGCCCTGAGAGTGTTACATTAGACCAGTTCAACCTGCAGGAGCGTCTGAAGGCTTGTAATCAGGGCTGTCCTATATTTGGGCCAATACAGTCATAGCAGAGAGTTGCAGATCAAACTTCTTTATAACTTATCCCATTAAGCATCTCGTGAACCCGGCTGATTTATCATGGGACACATTGGAGAGGACTCGAACCTCAGGTTGGGAACCACAAATGTAAGACAAAGAAAAGCAGCAAATCCTCACAACTGCAAAACAATTAATCCGTTATCATCATATCAGCTCATCTATTAAAGCGACTAATTATTTAGGCTCTCTAAATGTAAATGAAATGAAAGTGTGTAGAGGGAGGGAAATAATCTGGAGGAATATGCGCGAGCTCAACATCAGTACAGACAGATGTTCGGAGTTAATATCACACTTTCATCCGACTCAACAGATAAGGTGACAGCACACCGAGTGAGGAGTCAGGTTGTCCTGATCCCCCGGAAAGCCTCGACAGTGTTTAATAGTAATCAGACAGACTACTCCATGAGGGGACATGTGAAATTAAATCATTAACTGTGACGACAAGGGATGAGGCGAGAGGGCGAGACCGAGTCCTGGTCCCCCCCAGTAACGAATCCAAGATAAAGAAGAGATGCAACAGATGGAGACAACAACAGAGACAAAATGTTCAGTGGACTGCGAGTCTGCTGGAGACTTGATTACAAGTGATGACGTGTGAACTCACTAGTTGATGAAGTCGACGGCCTGTGTTTTGAGCTGATCGGCGCTGTGCAGGTCAGCCAGGATGAGGATCTCTGCAGCGTTTTCCACGGACAGACTTGTACACAACGCGTCCTCACACATAACCTTCAGTCTCTCCAGAGCATACTGAAGGAGAGAGAGGACACTAGATCAGTACATACTGAAGGAGAGAGAGGACACTAGATCAGTACATACTGAAGGAGAGAGAGGACACTAGATCAGTACATACTGAAGGAGAGGGAGGACACTAGATCAGTACATACTGAAGGAGAGAGAGGACACTAGATCAGTACATACTGAAAGAGAGAGAGGACACTAGATCAGTACATACTGAAAGAGAGAGAGGACACAAGATCAGTACATACTGAAAGAGAGAGAGGACACAAGATCAGTACATACTGAAAGGGAGAGAGGTCACCAGATCAGTACATACTGAAAGGGAGAGAGGACACCAGATCAGTACATACTGAAGGAGAGAGGACACTAGATCAGTACATACTGAAGGAGAGAGGACACTAGATCAGTACATACTGAAGGAGAGAGGACACTAGATCAGTACATACTGAAAGAGAGAGGACACTAGATCAGTACATACTGAAGGAGAGAGGACACTAGATCAGTACACATGTCTGTCTTCACCAGTATTCGTGAGCCATTTGCTGCGACGGGTTAGGTGGTTTTGGCTAATATCATTTCAGCGATCAAATCCAGTCTGTAATGTCACACCTCTAATGGAGACCATCCAGTCTGAAGCTGTGTTTCAGAAGTCAGTCTCTCATTTGGTGTTTTAGAGGAGGGAGATCAGAGTGAAATCATCCAACCGTTTCTTTAAAATCATGATGGCTTACCAGGCTAATTGGTTTAGTGCACTTAATCCATCTTATTACTTTTAGTTGGGGCAATATCTGCAAGGACACAGTGTGCGCTGCCAGCAAAATAATATGCAACTTTAAAATCACATAAAATACAGCCGGGACGGCAATATAAACATCTTTAGTAAAAATACACAGAGCCAAACAGCCTCCATCAACAGATTCTATCCATCGAGAAAACGCTGTCTCAATACGTCTCAATATAGCGATGCAGTAGCTGTATTGTTGTATTACTTTGTCAGCTGCTGCCAGCAGGTCGTCGGCCATCTTGTCCAGGTTGGGAGCCTTGTCTGTGTAAATGAAGCACATCATCTCTTTGAAGACCTCCGGCTCCACGTCGTTGATCTCCACTCGGTTCTGACGGAACAAGACGGTGAGTAAGGAAGTTAGATTCGAGCGTTTCACCGTGACATGAGCTTCAACTACCTGCCCTTTATCTCATTAGGTGCAGTACTTCATAAAAACAGTTATTTGTAATGCTGATATTCACAAACTGTACTCTGCAGTATTATATAAGGGGAATTAAGAAAGAGCATGTCATTATCTATGGGGCTGTAAATCTCAACACAGTTGTTGAAGTCAATTCATGGTGTTTATTTGAATATCACAATATGTGATTATAACAGGACTACTTTAAGGACTGTAAATTAAATACTCTTACAACATTTAAACACACAAAGTTAAACTACTTCATTGATGTATCCAGTTCAAAACTATAAAAGTCAAAGCATACGTATTAATTGTGTTCACAAATCAGTTGGTCAAGTATTGTGCACTTAAAGAAACCTTGCAGCAAATGAAGAAATCATTATTTTTTTATAAGTTCTTAATTAAGATTTTGAAAAAACAGGACTCCTTGTGACTCTGAATCATGTTTGCTAGAGTTTAACACATTAAGAGGTTATGTGTTACATGGAATTTGAACAAATGATGAATTGATTAAAAGCACTTTTATCTTTAAAACACGATTTAAAAATGATTTCCTCTGCCAGCATTCCATTTGTTGCCTTTCAGTTCAAATCTGCTCATATATTATTGAGAGAAACGTTTCCATCTTTCAAAAAGTAGCAACATAAAATCTAAAATAGCCTTGGTTTAAAAAAAAAAAAAAAAAAAAAAAAAAAAAAAAAAAAAAACATCTGGACAGCTTCTCCTGTAATTTCATTTCTTACAGTTACATGTGCTACAATGAAAAAAAAAAGCAATCCTCTGCTTCTGCAGCTTTGTCAGTGAAGGATGAATCCTGACCCCCAAGTACGGCGGGACAATTTCATTTCAGGTGCACTATCATTCAGTTTCACCAAACAGCTCTGTGCTGCAGCCGTTTGACAGCACACCATCCTTCACTCACTTTAACCCCTCAACACAGCAGGGAACGTGTGAGCAGTGGAGCCGCTGGAGGAACAAAACTAATTTATTTCTAGGAATTAAAAAAAAAAAAAAAAAAGCTCCGGGACCAGGGGCTCACCTTTTTACTCTCCTCCATCTCGTGCTCAAACATGGCGCTGAATACAGGGGAACGTGCTGAAAGTAGGAATATGGAGAGAAAAAATGTGAAGGTGGGAGTAATTATGGGATCAGAACAAACACGCACCACACACAGTCAAGCTTTCTTTAACCGGATAAACAAATAAACTGTAAACAGGGTGTGTCGGACTCCTGTCTGTACCTGCCAGGATGGCTTTGTGGGCCTGAAACTCCTGTCCCGCCACACACAGGGAGCAGTCTGTGAAGCGGGAGTTCTCCCACAGGCCCCCCAGCTCATCTGCAAGCCGGCAGTCAGGTACCTTCACCATGTTCATGGTGTTCTGCCCAGATATGTTGACTGAGTCCTGCACCACACTCACCTGAGGGAGAGGAATGACATGTAAAAATGTAACTGTAAATGAGAGGTGGTATAAACTAAGAACAGTTTAACTCAAGGCAGTGTACCTCACAGAAGAGCGTGAGCTTGTCGTCAGGTAGAAGACCGTTGGCCTCATCTAGGAGGAAGTCTCTCCGGATGAACTTCTTGAAGCCCCAGTCCTTCCCTTGGACAAAGCGATATGCTCTCTGGCTTTCTGCACACAGCCGGGACGCACAGAGGTAACAAAAAGGTAAGTCCACGTAAAAGCTGCACAGAGGGACGTTACATCTAGACAATGATGGCCTCTGTTTCAGTTACAGGTCTGTGCTACCCAGTCGACTCACCCATGGCTTTGGTCTCCTCTCCCTTGGCGTTGAGGATGGAGAATTTGAACTTGGCGCGCACCTCGGCCTTCGGACAGCTGACCAGCAGCAGGTAGAGAGACAGGTAGTCTTTGCTCTCCTCATCCAGGCCCTTAGGATTCACTCGCAAACACCTGATGGTGGTTGAGGGTGGAACAGTTAAGATCTCTAGTAAAAGGGATGGAAGTAATAATGTATTAACTAGGGGTGTAACAATACGTGTATTGGTATTGAACCGTTCGGTAAAGGACATTGGGTTTGGTCATCCTTTCGGTATGTCCTGTGATCCAAACAGCTGTTTACGTCTACTCCTCTCGCACACACAGAACAAAAATTCTAGAGTGTGAGTTTTACCTTTGTCGTTTTCCCTAGTGTGCCGAAAACGAACCGAACCGTGGCCCCAAAAACCGAGGAACGTACCGAACCATGAATTTCTGTGTACCGTTACACCCCTTCTACGAACATTAACGGTGTAATTTGCAACAGTAATCAGACGGGGAGCGATTCTCTAGATGTTTCTCAGAAGTCCACTTCCTGTGCACTGCGGTAAGACGATGAAAACTGAACATTAGAATACGATCAAACAGAGCGGCTCTCTTGCCCACCCACCATTTCAGCTTGTCATTGGCCCCCGAAGAGAAGGTGGAGCTCTTGATGACCTCGCCCATCTCCTCACGACAGAAGCTGAAGTTGTTGATGGTCCACATGTAAGAGAACTTCACCACTTTGATCTGGCAGAGGGAAAGGTATTCAGTGGAGCTCCGGACCTTTGATTTGTTTGAGATGAAAGACAACAGCGTGATGATCATTTTACCTGTGTGTAACACCAGCTCTCGGCCACGGGCCCGCTGGACATTTCCGCAGGGGGAGGGGGACTCGGGACTCTTGACATTGCCAGCGTGACAGAAGGTGTCGGGGGCAAGAGGGTGAGGAGAAGGATTCCGTCACTTCCACTTGTCAATGTTCAGTCCTGACGTCCATCTGCAGCAGTACACGCCAGATGGAAGCAGTTTGCCCCCTAGAAACAGACCACGAGTGTGATTAGTTGATCAGAGTTTAAATCCCATCTCCTTGAAAATCCTGTTCAGCCTGAAACGCATTTTTCTAACGAAGAGGCAATCACAGAAAACCGTTTTGCAAAAAGCTCATTGAGATGCAACACACGGGCACCGTATCTTTCATTAATCCAGTTAAGATTCAATATCATTATATTCATGCGGCCACGCTGCCTGCTATTGAGGCTTGTGTGGTTGTGGCGAGATGAATTGTCCCTGACCCATTGAGGGGGGGGGGCACAGCAGGAGATCGATGGCCCACGCCTGTTCTAAGATCAATAGCCGCTGCAATTGCAATTAAGTCGCAAACATGAACTGTAAATAAACAAGCTGCCTCCCAGGACTGTGGTGGAGGTTGGAGCTACTGGCCAAACTACCTTCAAGTCACACGGCCACAGGAAGGTTGTGTAGACTTGTGACGAACACTTCTCTCCTCTAAATAACACACTTCCACAGCATGTGTGTGTGTACTGTATGTTGGATAGTCAGGCCTGATAACCTCTGTGACCATTTAATGCCACGAAATATTCCATGTACTATAGAAAATTCAGACTTTTGTATCATTCTCGTAGGTACAGAGCTCCTTTTATTCACAAATGATAGGAGGTGCCATGATGCCGTTATCAAGACCTTTAAAACCTTATAAGTGGCAAAGCATCCTAACTCACGTATAAATCTACTGGAAGTTAGAAATGTGGATCTACACATTAAAAAGGATAAGACTAGTGATATATTACGAATACATCTATATTTCTGCTGTCACCAAAAGAGCAAAACAATGCTGACTGATACAACCGATAAGGGGGAGTCATTCCCACAAACACCGTCCCGCTGGCCTAAATATTGAGTTGAGTATCATAGTGTACTAATCCACCACTGAAAATAGTCCCCATTAAATGCACCATTTATCCTGTTTGAGTGTTTTTTTCTCAACAGCCTCATTTAGCTTTTCAGTAGGAACAGATGCACCTGTGCCAAAAAGTAGTTAAAAAGTAATTTGTAAAGCATTCAGATTAATTAACAAAGTGTAGCTTGTGGTCTTTTCATGGGATTTTGGATTACATTTATATATTTTTCAGTTCAAATGACTGCGCTTGAGAAATCAAGACGAGCTGACAGGGTTTCAGACTGCTGGATTGCCTCAGACTAGAAGACAAAAGTCAGCGTCAATATTTAATTATATGTGACGGTACAGGTACTGTGTTGCCCTCTTTTCTACCCCTTTAGCAGGGGATAAGGACACAACACCTCGCACTGGACATCATGTTGACAGACAGATTCATAAGCCTTTTTCATCTTGCTGCACAATGTTTTCCACTCCAGTCAGTTTCTTTCTAGGCCCTCGTACTGTTAATCTGGGACCAATTCTTCTCACTGTTCAATATCTTTTTTTCCAGTCAACCATTTTTGTCTGCATTCCTCTAACCCATCATCCGTCTCTACCTTCCTGTCACACCCGGAGCCTTTAATGTCTTCATCCATAAATTCAATTTGGGTTCAAATGCAGCGCAACAACAAGTGTCGGCTGGGAGCTGAGCTTTTTGCTCCTCGTGATCGCACTGAATGAAGGAGACACGTTGACCGTGAAGCTGCTTAGAGGCGGTGTGAATGGTAACATCTGAACGTATGACGCACTTAACAGACTAATGTTAGTGGCGTAATAATGGGAAGTTATTCGTTTAATACTACAGCAAACATACAGCATCCACAAATCCTTTAAAATCACATTTTATATGATTATCAGAATTCTGAGTGGGAAATGTATATATATATGCTACTTCTGCTAACAATCCCACAATGCAATGGGTAAAAATGAACCGTTATGATGTTGTACAAAATTACGATGATTCATAAAGTGTCTTTAATCTCAATTTACTGGTGACGGTAAAGTCAACTACTGCATGTATAATAAACATGCATCATACGTATTCAGGTCTCTCCACACTCTCGTCTATAGTACATGCTGTGCAATGTTGGTACCGTGATCTCCTACACAGTAACAGTGTAGTACAAATGCCTGCACAGCCAGATCTCTAACCAATAGAAGGTTTTTTTAGGATGGGACAGGATGAACACTCTGTTGGAACTAAGCAATTACTGCCGAGTCACAGTCAAAGCCTGTTCTCCAGGCAAAAAGGAAATAAAATCAGTGTAACTAACGAGGTACATCATAACATTACCACTTTGAGTGAAGACATCTTGATTTAAGTGCAGATATTTTGTCTAATGCGGACTAAATGAATCAATGTCTAATCAACACAAAGTTCCTGTTAAAGATCAGATGAACGGAGAAGCAGCCAATCTTCTTGATTCTTGAACAGCAGCAACGAGTGAGATGGACCGAGACAAAGGAAGGGGGGGGGAAGTAAAGTGATAGAGAAGCCAAATGGAAAAGCTGGTGGCAAATGAAAGATGGGCCACCATCTGTGGGCCCATTCAAAAAAGATAAATTGCTACAAAAAGTGGTTAGATGGAGACAAAAGAAAATCAAACGGAGGTATAACAGAGAAACCAAATACAGATTTGTGGACCGGTGGACTCTGATGAAGATGCACGGTGCATTGAAACCGTCCCAACACACAGTTTCATCCTCAACGACCCACTGACTGAGACGTGAACTATAACCCTGCAGGACTAACATCTGCAATAGCCATTCAAAGTATTTACATTCAGCAATTATCACTCTATATTGTAGTTGTTATTGTTAGTGGCAGAGTCTGCCATTCCCTTGCTGTCTTCGGATTGCATGACAGATTCAACAATGCTAATAAGTGGGCAAGGGGCTGAAAGATTAAACCGCAGCCATTTCTGTTTAAAGAAAAATATGACAAAAACAAAATACACAAATCTCTAGAATAGACGCAGCTGAGCCGCATCCGACCTGTGATGATCACCCATGCTCTAACCTGTTAACATGTTCCCCAGCACAAATGTGCTGCTCAAGCAGGCAGCCCAGATAGGAGAGAACAGGCTTGTGCTGGACTGTGATTGTAATGAAACAGGAAAAAATGGCGGACAATGTGGGGAGAGGTGAGGAGGGGGGGTCTGATTAGAAGGCGTTAACGTTCTTTATTTCATGACGTAGATTTGGCCCAAATGGTCAACTCCATCTCCATTTTTTTTTGGGTAAGAAATGTCGATATTTAACACCAGCATTGATGTGTTTTATCAAAGTACAGTCATATAACTTGGATTAAAGCTTAAGAAACGTATTTAAGTGTGCAGCTACTCTTCAATATTTGCAGCAGAGTGATGGAACAAGAAGAAACCTCGAATAGAAATCGTAAAAAATAACAACTTTTTTCCTCTACATTCACATGACGGTAAAAACCTACAGGAACCAAACTCAGAAGATCGATCAAAGTCACCTCGGTTTCCAAAACTACCACCAGAACATCAAAGGCACAAGGATCAGGTCTTACGGTTGTCTGCTAAACTTTCACCATTATATCTATACACATATCACCAATATATGTTGATTATCTAACAATTTTTTTTCAAAGATGTAGGAGAGGCAACAATCTATGAAGTGTTTGATCATCGCAGTCTTAGTGAGAAGTAAAGTTATGCTCATTGAATTCAAATGCAGATATATAATACATGATGTGGCAGTTATGACCACAGTGGTTATTTTCGTGACATTTCGCTCACCCAACCCGAAAAAAAAAAAAAAAAAGAGAGAAATCAATCTCTGCTCTAAATTAAAGACTCGAGGTATGGTGGCACTTCACGTGGCAATTTCCAAAGGGGGATGAAAAAATTGCTACCGTTGTCGAAGTGTCAGTGAACACAACGTGTATTTCCAAAGCTTTGGTCTTCGAGGTCTGCAAAAAGCCAGACAAACCTAAAAAACTATAATTGGTACAGGGGCTGGGGATCGATTGCACGGCGCGTGTTGGGCCTCTGCGGGAGTGATTTCATATTCTGTCCTTGGTCATGGTGCTCCTCCTTTCCTAAAAACTCAATCTCAGAGAGGTATGAACTATTGATTTTGCTACAGCGATCAGCTTGCCTCGCTCTTATCCCTGACTTTGTGCAGACCCACAATTACATTGAAGGGGATTTGAGTGGGTAAAAAAAAAAAAAAAAAAAAGCATTAGCACCCCAGGCTCCCCCCTCCTCCTGGTACTTCCTCACGAAAACCCTCCTCACTTCGCCACGCACGGGAGGTTAAAGGGAGGAGGGACCTCAATGCATATCTAATGTCTAAAGTCACCTGGTTCACAGCAGCACAACAGTTGCACTTGACGTGTTGACCTCGAAGGGCAGACACTCCCGTAGGCTGCAAAACACTGCCAGTAGTCCGGTCATTGTGGCTGTAAAAAGCAGCTTTCAGGGACATCTTTTACTATTTTTTGATTTGGTTGATTTGAGCTTCATCGTGAATCTGTGGTTTGCTTTTTTTTTGCCCCAAACAATTTAACGGACAAGCTCGCTGCAGACGAGGTTTGTATGATGTTTCAAATCGAATTAATCTTCATAAATTGTGACAGACGCTGTTGTTGTGTGGGACATTGTGATGGGAGAGAGAGTATTTGCTTCTGGCCAGTGCAACTGGATCGCATCAATGTCCACATCGCAAAAACCTGGATCACAACAATTTTTGGCAATGGATTGCCTTACTGTTTAAGTGTTATGACGATTGGAAAACATGGACTAAGCATTTCATTTCTGTTTTTAAAGTTGTGCAAGTTATCTCCTTGGGGCAGAGAAATCTGACTTCAGATTCCAGTAAGAGAACATTATAAAATACTTTAAGAATAAACGGAGGTTTGTAACTCACTTTCATGATACAAGAAAAACTATCACATACATTGCAAAAGTTGTTAAAAACTGATTTGAAGGTGCAAACGCAGTGGATTTTACTCTGGGTTGCCACACTGAAGGGGAGTTATGTATATGCAGTATATCTGCAGGGCCAAGAGGTAGACTCAGGACTTTTTTTATTGAGGGCCATTTTAAATCTGCTGCATGGCAGCACTTTGACTTCAACATTAGGCAATAATGTAGCAAAAAGATAAGTATTGATTGTACTACAAGAAAGCCAAGACTCCCCGGTTACATTCGTTTTAAAAAGCATCCCAAATCATTGGAATACAACGTTATCACTCTGCAAGTTATGGCCAAAACATTATGTATTAAGTTGAATCAACCCTTCTCACAAACGGTCTTGATTAAAAATCATCACGGTCTAAAAGACATAAAGATACCAATGTTCATGTTACAGTGTTCACCACCAGCATGAGAGATAAACAATTAAACCTTCTTTATACATGATAACCCTGCTGTGGAGTTTGCTCTGTTTCCAGTGAACCTGTACAGATGAGCCAATATTACACTTGTCTTCTCACTCTCTATCCAAACAATTATAAATGAGCTATTAAACTCACCAGTTTTTGGGCAGCTTGAGAAAACAGACCATAACACCACGAGAAGCGGTACTTGTAGGGCTAAAACATACATAAATCCTGACATCTATCCATTAACCACAAATACATTATAGTCATCTATTAATAATAGTGATCCATTATGATTACGTTGAATTAAATTTAAACTTTTCGCCATATTACATTTGTTTCTATTAAGTAAACTTACTAATCTTTTAATTGTTTGATAATTGATATTGGGAAGTGAACCTCACACCTTCTAGTTACTGTAGTCGATGACAGTAGCAGGTAGTTAACGTTAACTTGCTAACAATACAGACAGTCGACAATGGTGTCTTACTTTGAATTGGCTCTTTTATAATACTACATATAAACACCGAGGTGCTCATGTAGAAAAATAAATCCCATACATTGATGACAAGTTGTGATACTTTCAAAAAAATGACTGCAAATAACCCAATCTGACGACAGCACGCCAGTTAGCCGATTGAGCTAGCTAGCTAGCAGCTAACATAAGCCAAACAAAAAGGTCGGATAAATCGCCGCAAACATTGCGATTATAAAATACGATATAACCGCCTGCTTCATGTTGTTTTAAGTCTTAAGTCCCTATATGACTGCTTTCTGTTTTAATTATCGACGGACTTACCTTTGTGTTTGGTTAAATTGTGACGCTAGCTGTCCGTGATCTTGTGTTGTTGTGATTGCTAACAGGCTAACTGTCTATAGCACGAGCAGACATGATGGGTCTTGCGAGGAGCGCCACTGCTGTCTCGGAGTCATTTTACGGCCCATTAATACAATGACAAAAAATGTACATACACTAAATACGTTTTATTTTAATAATAGCTCTGTTATGCTTATAGTTTCATGTGTGCTGGGGACAGTATTTTACTTTACCATCATTGAAAACTAATATTGATTTAATCAGCACTGGATGAGCTACAGCTGTGTTCCTCATTAACAGAGCAAACAGATTAACAGGCCTCTACCATTAAAGACTTACTTTAATTAAGACGCAGATATAATTAATCTCTGGATACATAGGCTCACCCTGAAGGCGTCTTTAATACATCTTAAACCTAAATATTTCTGCATTTATTTATTCATTTCTGTATTTATACATTTATTAATGCATTTATTTATTTATACTTAAGACATTTTTGGTCCTCCATAAAAAGGTGTCAATTTATCAATAAAATAGGAAACAGAAAACTTTATTTCAACATCTTTTATTTTTTTAAGCCTGCACACAGGATAAATGAGTCAATTACATACTCGTTTTTTTTGTCAACAAATATTTACACATTTACAGAAGCCTTTATGTTCTGATTAACAACATAAAACAGAGACATCACATGTCCAAATCAAATGCAGTGTAAGTAAGATATGTAGCAGTCAAGAGAGGACACCACAAAAAAAAACATGCTGAATATAACAAATTCATCTCCGCTTTTTAGGGATAACAACATTTCCACTGGTTGCGATGGGGATCAGGAGCTTCCGTTGGTCCATACGGAGATATTTTTCAATGAGCACTTCCACTGGCACCTTGTCATTCACATAACCCTGCCTGCAGAGTGCAAACACACACTAGTCAGGTTAAATGTAAGGAAACTAATGTAACGTGTCAGACATATTTCAGAGTTAGCATTATTTATGCTTACTGCTCACATCACAGAGTCACCGGTCCTTTATTTCAGACTAAACATGCAGCTCAAGATTGCCATCTAGAGGTCAATATAATCCTAGTTCGGCAGTGCTTTTTTAACCTGTTCTGTGACTATATTTATATTTTTACAATGTATGTTTGAAAGTATTATGTCCTTATAATTTTTTCTCTTTTTTATGTGAATTGATGTGTTAGATGTCTTAAGCCTGTGATTAATTTAACAAGCATCATTTGTGGTTTTAACCAGGCTTTTTATTTTAGGTGATTATATGTCAATATTGTGTTTATAGCTTCTTAAACTAACCCCAAGTGGACAAAAATAATGATCCCATAATGCCGATTTGAACATTGTGGAATTGATTAATTAAATTAAACTTAAAGTACAAGTGTTTCACACTGAAACATACAATGGTGTATAAGGGCCATTGTAGGTAAAAGAAAAATTAATAATCACGGAGCCTGAGGAGTAGTTTCTGTGTTACTTTATGACCATAATGCTGACATTGATAGGCATTGTACTTTATCCTCATGTTAGACCTTTAATACGTTCTACTTTGCCAATCCAACCTTGCAAAGTAAAGCAATGTGGTTAAAATTTTGTTCTCGCAAATTTATCGTAGAAATAGCTATGTTGACGTGACATATTATTAAAGTGTTGCATGCCGAACTCATACAGTTAACTAGTATTCATGTTATTTCAATGATCCAAGACATGGCAAACTATTCCCGTTTTTTTTTTGAATGTAAAACAAATTTGTCGGTCTTTATTTTCATCCTTTACAGTTTTAGCTCACTAAATGGTCATTAATGCCGTCCTAAAACCATATGCACACTCACTTGAGCACAGAACACACCTACCTTTTCAACAGAAGTTCAGCATCTTCAAACTCGATGGTTTTTCTCTTTGCATGACCAGCATACGTCTCCAAGTCCTCTGCCAGACGGTCAAAGTATTTATCCATTCTGTTGAAGACAGTGAATTACAATGAAGCGAGAGGATATCCCAACAATCTATAGACTCAAAACCTCTACAGTCATAGTTACTTACATTTCTTTTAGGACAGGGTAAACATCGGCAGAGACATTGGTTTTGGCGAAGTGCTTGAACACGCCCATCAGGTAGCTTTTAGGAAGGTCTGTTTCCTTTTTAGCCGGCCCTTTCCTCCTCTTTCTCACCTGCTTCTGTTTAGCTGAAGGACCTTCACCTGTGCTACTGCTGGTATAACAAAAGATGATTATAAAATCATATATCAATAATCTTAATCTATTGACTTTACTATTGCCTTCCAGGGAGACATTTTTTCTACTTTCTAAACTATACGCCGGACATTCCAGTTGGACAATGTTATATGAGCTTTGGGTACATTTTAATATGTATTGTGAATGTTTCAGTGCATCATAAAGTGCAACTTACCTGGCTTGAATATTCTTAAAAACAGAAGGTGAGGCCAGAGCATTGCGCTGGAAAAAGTGTATTTTCTGTTTGACAAATGCAGGGGTCTTGCTGGGGATCTCTGAAGATTTTAGAAAACAAAACATGATTTACTCTCATTTTTATAAATAGAAAAAAAATCTGCACAAAAGAAAGACTGACCATCACTGTCTTCATCATCCTCTTCATCCTCTTCATCATCCTCTTCCTCCTCCTCCACCTGCTCAGCTGGGTCCTGAGCAGCAGCTTCTTCAGGTGAATCGACATTCAGGTGTCCACCATCTTCAATATCATGCGTCACCTCCGGAAGATTGAAGGAGTTCTCTTTATCAGCATCAACCTCAGTGTAAGTAGCATTTGTCCATCGTTGGGTTGAGGACTCGGGCAAGTCAGTGACCCCAACATGAAGCGGACCGCTCTCATGGCTTCCCATGTCCAGGCTGCTGTGGGCTTTGGACTTGCCATCAGACCATCCTAGATGAAAACAACAATACTTAAATGTTAAACAACAACTTTAAAACGCCTTGACATGCCTTTCTGAGCTGGGAATTAAAGCGGCATATTAATATGTAACTATCATTCAGTCCAACATAACAACCAGGCATAATATTCTAAACCGCCACGATAGCTTAATGTATAGCAATAAAGAAAGAACGGCATCTAGATGATATTTATATATCAACAATTAATAGCGTTGTTAGTTAGAGCCCTTAAATACAGAGAGATTATATTGTCCATTCTGACATCCTTACCTGCCTCTGTGTCTCCCCCTGCTACTATGACAGGCATAGTGAGTCCACCCTCAGAGCGATGAGCCCTCCGACTGATGTGTCCCAAGTCCGGTTCCAGCTGCTCTGATGCCTCATCATCTTCCTCCTCCGGCCTCCCAGCATGCTCGTCTTCAGGTAGAGAATTGGCAGCAGGATCCTCTTGATCACTTTGATATTCTACAACATCCTCCACGGACTGCAGATCAACAGCACCATCTTCTTCGATTTGGGAGTCAACTGCATCTTCTTCTTCTCCTTCTTCCTTTTGAGAGTCAGGTGCAAAATCCTCTTCCTCCGACTGAGACCTGGCTTCAACATCCTCTTCATGCTGGGAATCAACTACACCTTGTTCTTCTTCGGTTTGAGAGTCAACTGCAACTTCTTCTTCTGTTTGAGAGTCTGCTGCAGCCTCCTCTTCCTCAGATTGAGACCTGGAAGCAACATCCTCTTCAGTGTGAGAATCCACGGCACGTTGTTCTTCTTCAGTTTGAGATTCAACTGCACCGTCTTCATCAGTTTGAGAGTCTGCTGCAGCCTCCTCTTCCTCAGACTGAGACCTGGCTGCAATATCCTCTTCATGCCGGGAATCAACTCCACCATGTTCTTCTTCAGTTTGAGAGTCAACTCCACCTTCTTCTTCCGTTTGAGATTCACCTGCACCCTCGTCTTCAGTTTGAAATACAACTGCAACTTCTTCTTCTGTTTGAGAGTCTGCTGCAGCCTCCTCTTCCTCAGACTGAGACCCGGTAGCAACATCCTCTTCAGTGTGAGAATCCGCAGCACCTTGTTCTTTGGTTTGATAGTCACCTCCACCTGTTTCAGCTTCCACTCTGTTCTCCTCTTCCTCAGACTCGGTTGTATCATCCTTTACACTACTCTGGGATTCAGCTATATCTTGCTCTTCCTCATTCTGAGGTTGAGCCCCCTCTTCAGTTGGGAATGCATATATTGATTTCTCTTTCCCCAGGTTGCTGTGCTCCGCCTCCATCAGCTCCTCCTGCTCCATCTGTCTCTGAAGCTGAGACACCATCGCCGTTGGTTTGTCCTGAGTTGCAATGATGGAAAAGCTGGAGGTCATGGCATCTGGCTGGGCGTAGAGAGCCGTGTTACAGTGGAGGATATCAGTCGTGATATCAGGTTCACCGAGTTTGCTTAAGCCCAAAGTGAAGCCCTCAGAGTCGGCGGTCTCACTGAGACCTCGCTCCCCCTGCACAAAGCTGCTCACTCCTGGATGACAAGATAAGTGGGGGGAGAACAAAAGGATTATTAGCAATTATTTTCATAAATAATACACCATTTGCTCCGAAAGGAAGCTATATCTGCTTCCTTCCACCAGCTTGCTCGTGTAGCTGGGCAGGAATTTAGAAAGTAAATTTAAAGATATCCTATAACAGGTCAGGACTTTAGGTGTGTCATTCTTTTTGACACAGTTTAAACGGTTAATAAAGATGTTAACTAATAAAATGAATCAATAATCCGTGCTCTCATTGACTTGTTATACATATGATCACACATGGAACAAAAAGGACAAAGAGTATCCTAAATCATTGTAATCACCTCCCATCTGCCTTTTGTTTACAGCAGCCCCAAATTCTTCCACTGTGATTTTTCGACGGTTAGAAATTCTTCTCAGCAGGACCCTTTTCTCGGTACGAACATCCACAAATGGTGTTTTTAGACTCAGAGAAGTGGAACTGCAGAAGAAAATTAGACAGAGCACATAATCATCTATTCACTCATTAACATTGTAAAGAGAAATCTAACTTTTTTTTTTTTTTTTTACATGTAGACAACATAGTTTTGTTTTTTACCTTGACAAAGAAAGTGATGAATGATCGCCTATTGACTCTTCACTTTCCTCCTCATCATCTGTAAGCAGAAGCATCCATCAGATAGTCATAAAACCATTCCCACCACTTCCCAACCCAAGTGTTTCAATTCACAATAAGAAACATGTTTAGGTTCTTACAGAATCCCATTCAAGCCCATCAGTGGCTTTAATCGTACCTTCTCCATCTTTAAGACGCTTTTCAAAAGCTGTTACATTCAGACTCCGACGTGGTCTCTTTCTGCTCAGTCCCTTTGCGGTACTCGCTGCGTTGCCAATAGTTATATCAGGCAGATCCAACCCTGACAGCTCAATACTGAAAGTAAAGCAAATATTAAACCTGTTATACATACACACAACATCATTTAGCCAGTTGTATACAGTCAATACTACTGAAGGGGCTGCAAGTCAGCATGGATGTTGTTGTGGCCCAGCAATGATATTATAAGTTGATTCCTCACAACTAATATCAGAGCAATTATTCAAAATACTGTTGGAAAAATGTATTTCAAATGTGATGATACAACATGGGATTTCTGTCACTCACACACACACACACACACACACACACACACACACACACACACACACACACACACACACACACACACACACACCTCGGACACTTCCTAGTAATGCTGGAGTCTGCTGAAGATGGTTGCGGCTCTTCTGATGCACCTTTCTCGTGAACCACAGGAGACTTCACAGGCTCTGAATCACATTACAAAGGATATATGACTAAAAAAAGACAACAGACAGCTGCGACATTATGTGGGAATAAAGATATGCACATACCTGTTCGCAGGATGTTCATGAGCATGTGCCTCGGTGTTTCTCCATCATCAAACAGTAGTGAGGTTGGGGCTGGTGTGTTCATCTTTCTGAGCCCGACAGAGGCGGCCCTCTTATGAGCAGAGGGCAGGGATTGCCTGGTTATACTCTGGGGAGACGGTCGATATGTCAACTTCAATAGAATCAACAGCATGTCCATCAGTATTACCTCGGCTCTACTTTCTCACCTCGCGTATTTTATGTCTCAGGCTTCGTCTGAGGAAGTCCTGTGGGGTTTGGGGACCAGCATCTTTCTTGCTCTGTCTTTTGCTGCTCCTGGTCACGCTGGTAGTCTGTGCATTGGAGGAACTTCAGACAAGACAGCAGTATTAGTTCAATACTGGATACAAAGTCATTGGGCTCCTTTCTTTTAGGTTAAAAATCAAGAATGTCTTAGTCAAATTACTCCACCTCCTCTGTCAGCTTTGTTATGCGTTAAATCTGACTTTTTATTGCGGTTTTTTTCATGTTAAATTAACTATGTTTAATTCAAACTTAGCCGTTATACATTTAGCACAAGCAACCAACTTCAAGTTCACGTTAAGACAGATTTAGGATAAATAACATTAGTTAGCATTAACGTTACCGTAGCTAGTTATTTAACGCTTGAAACACCAGTAATAGGACTTCGCCTGTTCTTTCCCAGTAAGACTGGTTAAGGTGTTACCTGCGGGTGATGGGAGTCCTGGGTGTCTCGGTGCTGAGGATGTGTTTCAGCAGGACCCGAGCAGACAAATCCTCCGTAGGATCCATTTAGAAACCGAGCTAGGAGGGGTCAGCTGGTTAGCTGGTGGTAGCTAACAAACGTTTGCCAACGGTTAACAGTAATGGTTACCGTGTTAAACTGCGTTTTTATATATCAGGCAAGTACCAAAACCGGCGCTAAGCTGAGGACAGCGTCATTTAGTACAAGTTGTATCTAGTTAAACATGTGTTACCCTCCGTTGACTGCATGTTGACACTTTCGAACTCAACGGATTTATTCCTCACACTGTCCCGCGTTATTTTCAAGTGAAATCCCGCGAGAAGACGATTTTCTTCTTCTTCTACTTTAGCTGAATTTGCCACCAACCAGGGTGTTACCGCCACCTATTGAGGACTCTAGGGATAACATGGAGTTCAGGGTTTTATATAAACATGAAAATATATTTGATCTCACCACAATATGTTTCCATCTGTTACTGTATCTGTACACTTTCAAAACATTAGTGGGAGATGGTCTGTTCTCCTGGCAAACCAGGCAGGTGGATGAAATAAAGCCAAAACTGCCAAGCAGTACGCCATATACTGTGTTCTTATAAGCTAAATTATGCTTAATTGTTTTTATCTGGGTTGTCTAAACATAAAATGTAAACTTTTCTCATTAATAACAACTTAGATCCTTGTCAGTATATCAAAAATTATAGTGACTTATCTCGGTGTTACAATTTGAAAAACTAAATTATTTGAATGTCATAGTAGAAAAGATGAAACATAAATCTGACAAGTGGTTAATGAGAGATAAAAAATCTCATGAAATCAAATCAGCTGCAGTTTTCAGGCACCACTGTCCACCGTGGATGTATGTCATCAAAGCTACTGTGTACTTAAACTGTGCAAAATTAATAATAATACACACACGTGAGATTGCAATAGTTTTAATTATTAACACAAACTCAAAAATAAATTATTCAATTAGTAAAAACAGGTGGCTGCCTGTTTTATACATACAGTCACTGATAAGTGAATGATCCCTTTCCCCCTTCACACTGGAAATGAACTGACTGAATGAGTGCAGCACGCAGTGCGACTCAACCTTCATTCAATGTCATAAGTTTGTTTTCTATTTGGCAAAAAGTGCAAAGGCTCCCCACACTGACGACAATGTCAGAGACGGAGGTGTGAAGTCACGGGGACTTAGAAATCGGGCCCTTCCTTCTTCAGCTTGGAGTAGTCCGTGTTAACTGCGTAGAGCTGCAAGTACACAAAGAAAAATACACGACCAGTATGAGGGAGGCAATATGGACTTTGAGGCAAGATAACGGCAACTATATGACGTGTGGTTTAAATCTAACCAAGCAGCCATTTAAAGAAATATATTCAAATGGCATAGATATAGCACTCTTTTATAACGATGGAGCAACGTGTATCAAAAGTGAAGAAGTTATGAATGCTAAATAAAGGCTCATACTTTGTACTGATAATCGGGCTGCATGGTGTTCCAGGGCTCGGGGTTGTTCTTGCGATCCCAACTGAGGACAAAAAAATATGAAAACTCATTCTGTGAGGTTGTCAGAATTCTTCTCACAATTTTTAAACACATACACTGAGGTTTCCTAAAAAGCTAGCCGAGGGCTGAGGAACACACTGTCTGTATTTTTATATTTTTTAACAGCAGATGCTGTATGTGTCCAAGACAAATTTCCTTCTATGTTATCTTAAGTCTATCTTATCTTTATCTGGAAGTTTATACTTTCTCAGATGTACCAGACTTACCAGACTGCTGGGTTTTTCAGAGCCAGCCGAGCCAAGTACATCATGCTCATGGCTGCCCCGCCACCAATGAAGATGAAGAGGGGGATGAGCTAGTGAGTGAAGAACAAGATAAATTAATTACAGTGCAGGTGTCATACCAATTACAACGTAATCTGTGAAACTAGGACAAGGCAACCAACAACAGAGAATTATTGTTCTTTATTCTAGGTTTTTTTTAGACTTCCTCTGGTTTATTTGAATACTTTTCGAGTTAAAAATGATCCGGTTATTAGAGGAAAGTTGAAAAGAGGTTAAGAATTATTTACTGTATTATATTTCTATCCTGTTAATCTCTTGACCCCTCAGATTTGTCTGTAGATCACTTGTTGGGGTCCCAAACACTGTTTTATTCTATTCCAGCAGCAAAATGACAGATGCGGGGTGCCGGTGTAGCTTATGAGTTTATATACAGTATATATAGAATTTAGGCTAATTGTTTGAATCGAATGTGTAATAAGTTAGCCTGCATACAGTTTTACCTTTGATCAGTGGTGCAATGTAACTAAGTACATTTACTGCGGATTCAGATAATTAGAATATCATCGACAAACAAATGTGTTATATGTTAAGATAAGTATGAATTAATCCACAGGGGGAACAATACAGTCAATACTTATACTTAAAAAAATTAAAAGAGCTCCACCTTTACTATAGCAGCAACATGTCTTGTAATGGTATTTCTACACTGTGTTATTACTATAGTAAAATATCTGAGTACTTCTTCCACCACTGTTTTCATACATATCATATACTAACTGGAAAGCTTACACTGTTTAGGGGACAGTGACATGTGTATCGTCCTACACAGTGGTCTATAAATATGGACGCTGCCGTAAAGCAAACTGTTTCACCCTTTCGCCCTTGGATAATCAGACTCTTTACATGCACTGCTCTGGCCTTGAGTCACGCCGGTATGGAGCCCATACAGTAGAGGACGTGGCTGTATGAGGGCATGAATACCTCTTAAAGGGAAACGAGATTGTGCACTTTAAACAAGCAAATGTATTGCTTCTGTATTAATGTCTCATCGGAGAAGGTGGCTTCATTTTTCTAGAATAATAATCCTATCATGAAGCTCAGAGGGTGGCAGAGCACAACATATATAAGCCTCAACAGAAGGAAGGATAATAAGAGGAATATGGCGATGAGGAGATAAGATAAATGTAGATTACAATGTAGATTTGTTTTGGTGTTGAATTGGCTTTATCGATCATTTCAACCTGAAATCTGGTGCCAAGGAATTCGACATTTCTGCAGACGTAGACATAATGAATCTGTCGCATAGGACTGAAAATGAAAAATACCTAACGCGTTTCATTAATTGAGGAAAGCTGCATAGGAGCTGAATAAATAATGGGAGAACACACATCAGACAATTAAAGGGAGATTTTGGGAAACGGGCGCGCGCATAACCACACCATCGCGTCCTCACCAGCGCCTTCAATGTCACCGGGTTGATCACATGTTGTAAAAGATATACAATGTTTAGCACTCACAGCTGGATGGCTCTTGAGCTGTTTGGCGACCTGGCCCAACATGTCGGAGAATCCGCTGACAGACTCCGGTAAAGCGAATACCTGCCGGTAAAAATGCGCGCTGCTGCGGAGGAGCTCGTGCGTCTTCCTACGGGTCTGAATGCTCTCCACAGTGAACCGCACAACACCCCCCCTACGGTCGGCCAATCCCACAATGCAACGGAAACAGCTGTATGCCCGACAGCAAGTGCAGATCTTTAAAAAAAAAAAAAAAGAAGTCCATACAGTCTTGTCCTGTACTCGTGTTAAAGATCTTATTTAAAATTCACATTAGAAATGAGCAAAAAAAAAACCAAAAAAAAAAAAAAACCTGAAATCTCATCTGCTATATTTTCAACGTAAGGGACCATTTAGATCATTTAAATTCACAAGAAATAAAAGCATTAACTCACGTGCTCACGTACAGTTTTAAGGGAAAAAAACCTTGTGCCACTTTCACCACAATAGCTGTTCTGGAGCTTTCGATCATGAGCTTCATAAGCAGCCGTTTGCCCAGTTGTCATAGAATTGTCGGTCTTAAAGGTCCCTTTTTTCTGAGCACTTAGCGGATTTATTTTTTTCCATATGGACTTAAACGCGTCTTACGATAACAAGGAAGATCATGTTATGGGATTGAAAGCTCCAGAACAGCCTCAACTTTCGTTTAGATCTTGTAGAACCCGACTTCAATCCAATCTATGAGGGAAAGATGCGTGATGAGCCACATACATACTTTCAGATGTTCACCGTTTAAACAGTGTCACCATGGAAGTTTATTTTTTTGTAAACGGTGAACATCTGGATCATCTGACAGCAATGTACACCTGGCAGAATAGGGGACGAATATAAAATGAGTGAGCTAACAGAGCTTGTCCTAAGATCACGGGACTACAGGTGCTACACCTCTCTGCAGACATTGGACATTCAGATGAGTGCAATTAGGACTTCAAACTAGTTTAATAAATCACCATGACAACACATTATCAATCATATATTTATGTGGACAGAACACAGAACCTGAGATAACAGCACATCGCCCAGCATCCACACAGATTCATAAAACATCGAAATTGAGGCTTATTTGGAAAAAAAGACAATGTTTCAATCAATCAGTATTTTACCAGGACACTAAAACTATAAGTCAAACAATCATACTATAGTTAACTTTCCATCCACATGCACACACGCAAACAAAAAACTCCTGTCAGAGACAAACCCAAGACTAAAAACCCTCTCCTGGAAGTGCATAAAAATCCACCCGATACAGTATAACACAGGCCTCAACTATATTGACAAAACAAAACTAAAAGGAACAGGTTTGTTTTTTTAGCTTATGTTGCAGGTAATTGAAAAAAAGATGTAGAAAATACACATTACTACTCTTAAAAGTACAAAAGTGAATATAAAAAAATAAGAATTGCGACTCGAAAGCAGCAGTTCAATTTGTGCAAACATGTCTACGAGAAATAAAACTATTTGAACATCAACTTGTCAGCTTGGCAGAAGAACACGAACATCTTCAGAGAAACATTGAGGACAAATCTACACCACTACTGGTTAGGTAGTCAACTAGGCTGTGAAACCTCCAAAATATAAACACACCATCAAGCAGACATCTACAACATCAAGGATTAACAGAACTCTTTTTTTTTTTTTTTTATCCATTAACACATGAAAAAGTTACTTTTTTTTCCCAGTAAACAAGATGACAACAAAATAACATCTGTACAACTTTTAAAGCAGGAATGAATGAGCTGAAGCATTTAGATAGTGATGCTACCCAAGTCCAACAACTGGACAATTCCCTTCAGTCTACAATATCAAAATGTGATTTCATTGGATCTTTTTTTTTTTTAAAGTTTTAAATCGGGTAAATAAAAAATACCCAACTGATTTGTCGTGCTTTGTACACCAGCAACAGGTGCAAGGTCAAGTTAGGTAAAAAGAATTGCAGATAAATATCTTTGAATACTTAAAAACAAGCAAATTTATCTGGGGAGGGTTTTTCTTACTTGACCCAGACTGCTAACATTTTGGACAGAGATGACGCACAGCAGTCAAGAGTTTAAAAACCGGTAAAATATAAGTGTGTGCCGTGGCTTCTTTGGGGAAACAGAAATATGTGAAGCATGTGAGGGGGCCGGTCCTCCAACAAAACACATTTCAGAGTTAAGAGTGGAATAAGACAGCCCTGTATATCTCACACTTGTGTTTGGCGAAAAAAATATAAATCTTTGGATTATGAAATGACAGCTTAATTTAGAAATATCAAAAAATGCCCGGACACCCAAAACAAGTAGCTCAGAAAGCACATCCATTGGATTGCGTTTGAGTAAGATATTAATTATTTTTTTCCCCAATATTATTTTTCAACATAAGATTATTTTAAACCTCGATAGAAAAGGGATGGTCCTCTCCTAAAATAAAGCAACAAATCTGTCCCAGACGACAGAAATATTTGCATTGTGCCTCGGCAGCTGTAATCAGAACGCGAGGCCCTCCCCGGAGCTTTCTCCCATAACAGAGGAGGTGGAGGGAGCATCTGGAGGAGCTGCCCGGTTGCCAGACGACGTTGCCTGGCAGGAGCTCAATTCCTGGCCCGAGCAACCGTCTGCTGGAGAGATGGCAAGGCTGCGGAACAACAGGTCCATGGAGGGGAGCAGGGGCCTGAGGAGGCTTACGGGGCAGAAGGCTGAGCCCCCATGGGGGGTGAAGTTTACCTTGTTGGGGTCTGGGCAGGAGGAGAAGAGGGCTGGCTTGTGTTGGCGTGGAGTGCTATAGGATGAGAGGAGAGGGACGATAAGAAACTAACTGAGTATAAGAGAAATGAGGTTTGTCCACATACACATCTTCAGCACGGCTGACATTGTTTTTGTGACTGTCGAGGTAACGATAAGTATACTTGTCCCTGACAAATAAACTAAAAAGTATCCACACCTCATGACTAGAACCCACACGTCTCTAGTGGGCCAGGCTGTATTCTACAGGAACATCATGACAACAGCAAGTTTTGGATTGAAACTGTAGCAAGAAGTATTGCATCTTCATTTCACATAATATACAGTAAAAGCAGGCAGCATTCATGGTATAGTGTTGTAGTAACAATAAGCGCAGTGGCTGCACCCTACTGCTTTGAACATTTAAGAAAAGAGGATGTGTTAAATGCCTAGCTTTAATCAAATTGGCTCTACCGCACTGATTAAATGGCTGGTCGTGTCTGGTCGTTATATAAATGAAGGGCAAATGGATTGCACGAGGATCACCAGCAGAGGGCGGCCACACACCTCGTTTGACAAACAACATTTGGGATGGAGCAGTGAGTCACGTTATTGCTCAAACAGCCCTTTGTTACTACATGTTTTTTTTTTTAGAGGAGAGGTATGAAAAACATCTAAAACAATAGTGTACTAAGTAACTGGTCTAGTTTAGAGGGACCCCACCCATGCAACACATCAGAGTGTGTTTACAGGGGAGAGCTTCTTCAAGCTGGTGACGACTATAGGTATGGTTCAGAGGAAACATGAGCGTGAAGTCTGTCAGTTCGTACCTGGTTTCCTCCCAGACTCGGATCTTTTCGCAGCCCTCTGGTGGCTCTCTCTGGAAGCAGCAACTCTTGTTGGGCCCCGGTGACGACGACATCAGCAGAGGCAGGGAGACATCGGCCTCGTTCTGGGAGGAGAACGGAGACAGGAGGCACATCTCCGCACCGTCTGATGAACACCAGGGCGGAAAGAATGTCAATATAATCAAAGATTCTGTAGGCAAAACCTCTGAGGACAACAAGATTTAACAAATATGTGCACATTACTTACAGTTACTTTTACTTCATAAATACAATAAATATAAAATAAACTAGCTTGGTTCATCTCAACTCCTGCAGAAACTAAATACATTTTAGTGTTACTGTAGTTTCTGAGCCGTAAATGAATGAATGTCAACAGTAAGGATTTTAGTTTTGTTAAAATAGTGGCCACGGGTTGAAGATTGTTTTGAATATAAAAGATAAATCCATGGCTTAGACATGACTCAATCAATTTAGAAGTGAAAAAGACAAAATGGCAAATAAACTTTTTACATATTCAGTCATCAGAAATAATATAAATGTGTCATACAATAGTGTAAACAATAAGTATGCACATGTACAGTATTTAAGCAACAAAAGAGCTCCTCTTGCTTGGTAAGAAAGTGTGACTGCAGTCAGCGCATCACAAGATAATTCCATCAACATGAACTTTAAGAAAACAAAGTAATGTTGTGTACAGATTTTGTTACCAACATAATGTAGGATCCTTGGGGTTTGTTTTGGGAGTCTAGGTTGGTGGTGCATTGATTGGGGGAGGGCCGGGTTTCTTTTCTTTTATGAATTTATAATGGTTATCGGATATTGGAGAAACAAACAATCCCATTTATGAGTTAATCAAACCACCATGAAACCTGCAGCCAGCGAACTGACACATTACACCTATACTTAGCTAACCTTGGTGCAGATCCAGTGGTGCATCTTGGAGGTGGGGTGGGGAGGTGGAGATGTTTGTTGGAGAGGAGCTGGGTGAGGACGAGGAGGAGGAGGAGGAGGAAGATGAGGACAAAGGTGTGGTGGCCATGTCACTCTGAGATCCACTGCTGCAGCTCTGCGGAGGCACCGGAGCCCGGTGACCGTCTGGAACCTCAAGGAGCTGACAAGACGGAAACACATAAACCCTTCAGCCTTTCCTTTAAAAGCAGAACTCCTGCTGAATATTTTCACGAGTGTACTATGTGTGGAGGGGACAGTTACCCTGTGCTGAGGATGCAGAGGCTGGCAGATGAACATGCCTTCCAGCTCCTGGTTGAGGCCCTCCACACTGCAGCGCAGTCGGGGGACCAGTGTTGACAGGGGAGGGAGGGGGATGGAAATTGGCTGAGTCTGAGGACACAAAAACAAGTTCAATGGAATCTAAGCCGCTTAACAGATCAGACGCTGTCGTGTACAGTCGTCTCGTCGGTTTTTCGTGTTTGCTCTTATTGTGAGGATCTTTGAGCTGCCTTCCTTGTATGACGAGTGCTGTGTTAATAAACTTTATCACTGAAAACACATTCTGAAGCAATCTTATGCAGCTCCCAAAGCTTATGAAACCCCCGCCCCCCCACAAATAAAAAGGTACAAATCAGGTTTGTAATCTTCCTCTTTGGTTTGTTATGTCACCACAATTTGGTCTGAAAGCGCCTCAGCTCAGTGGAGTGTGGCACCACGCAAGAAGACAAGTGCAGACCAGCTGCGCTGAAAAGCAGAACTACGCATTTCGTTCTGAAAAGCAGAAACTACGTGATATAGTGGACTTCCTGTTGCTTCTGTGTTTTATTTAATTCACTTCCTGCGATGCGCCGCACCGTCTAGTGCACACTCATAAAGGCAATCAGTGATACTCGTCTGAAGGCAGACGAGGCTGCACTGATGAAGACATATCTTTGTCGACTTTGTCTGCAGAACGTGTGCGCACACTTGCACGTATGGAGCGAGTAGTGCAGTGTGTTTGTGTGTGGTGATGATGCTAAGGTACCCGATTATTTCCTAGGCTACAGCTCCCCTGACGATAGCCACACTGGCGGTCTTTGTCATGCCCCCCTGAGACTGCAGGTTTGCTGCGCTGCTGCAGCTGTTGTTTTAGTTGAGCGATCTGCAATGAACAGAGGTTATTGTCAGTCAATCAGCTTGCACACACAAACACACGCAGGGGAAGTCTTTAAACGGTGCAAACGTCACACAAGGGGTCTCGTCTCAAGCACGCTAGCTTTGTAGTAGTGATAATCTGTAGTTAAAAAAGACTTCGTTTAAGAATAAGGCTCCTGAAAGCTTGTCGAAAAAGAGAAGTTTCGTTGTAGATGAGATAATTTGGTCTCCTGTTGCCCAATGCATCAAAGTAATTGAGTCAGGCCTTTTTCAAGAGCTTGCTCTCTCTTGGCCTGTATTACTCAATGCGTGTTTGAAACAACCATGTGTGTGTGTTGGTTAAACTGGATGTTAGAGACTCACCTCTCGCAGATGCTCCGCGCTGCCCCATGATGCCGAGCGTTTGTGGCTGCTGCTACCTCTCTGCCTCTGGGATTTCTCGGACCACGAGTCTGGGGTCTGGGGAGGAAGAAAGCGACCATAAGAACTTACACTTCTCAAATAAGTTCCCATGTGAAGAGTAAATAAGGAGAGGTAGAGAGAGAGAGATATATATTTATTTATTTATTAAGCTTATGTAGCCTTAAGCTGCCTAGTAATAATGTCAAAATCAAATGAAAGCCTGGAAACTGTTACGTTTCAGTCACACAACAGATCAGGATTTCACACCCTCTTACACCAAAGTTGCACACTTGGCAAAGCGTTTCATGCTCAAAAGTCTGATCTGCAGCCACATCACACTATCCACACCCACAGACTCTCTTTGCACATCACGACGAGTGATAGAGTAAGAGAAACTGAAAAACAAAGAGAGGGGGGGGGGGGGGGGGGATGTGGGCAACCGAAGAGCAGTGGCGAGTGCCTGCACACTGAGCAGAGGATGGGTGCAGCCAGAATGGACTCATTAGACGACTTCAGGGCCTGTTCTCATGGCTGTGGTTCTCACTCTGCAATAGCTATGCAAGCACCGGACACTCCCTCCCTCCCTCCCTCCCTCTCCCAGCAACTTTCTTCTCATCTAAAACTAAACGCTATTCTTTTGACATGACCTGAATCTCATTGACGACTTAGAAAACAAAACTCTAAATATGGAAACGTGTGTGGTGAGATCATGCATTCCATTCATTTCAGCATTATTACGATCACATATTCTGCATCTGGAGCTGACCTGGGTAGACTTGTCCTTGCGGGGCAGGCTGCTGCTGCTGCTGCTGCTCTGGCCCTCTGGTTCTTTGGGCCAGTGTCCCTGCAGGTACGGCCCGATGATGGCATCGAGAGACAATGTCCGCCTCATGCCAGAGCTCAGCTGTTGCGGTTTGGGCTTTCCGGCTGTCAGAAGGAGTCACCTTTTTTTATTCAACATGCACCAACAGATTAACTTATCCTGTTATGTCTTAAGCTTGCAAGTAAGTATGTTGTAGCTTTATGCGCCAATGTTGGACTTAATAAATCATTATTATTGCACCGACATACCAGAAACAACTAATTATTTCAATTTGAAAAAAACGTTCAGCCTCACAAATATTACATTTCCTGTTTTATTTGTCTAACGTGATTGTTGAAAATATATTCATCAACAAGGTATTTCCCTGATTAATCAATAATAATAATGAATGGCAGCTATAATCATATCTATATGGTAATAATCATCAGTATTACTATATAATCATGTTGTGCTTCTTATATAAAGTGCATTTTAGTTGATAGGAGAGCACTTTGACATGCAGATACACTCACATGTCATGTTACAGATAGAGAGGCTGCAGTGACTTCCTTGTTGACATTACAGTTTGTTTTATGGATGCTGTCCAGCTACATTCGTTTCCCAATCACTGGGGGTTTTGCTCATCTCAAGTTTGAAACCAGTTATCGGTGGTATAGCTACTGTGAAATCACACATTAAGTCGACCACATCTGCATTTTTTTCCCATCATGCCATCATATTTTATTCTACACACACATTCATCCACTATGTGATCCATACAGTGTGACAGGTGTTGAGCTCGTACCTGACTTGCCATCTCTCCGGTTTGGTCGAGACTTGCTGGTCAGCTGATAGGGAATAGTCGCCTTTAAGGGTTGTGGACCTAAAGTAGCTCCTCGGATCTGTCCGACTCCATTTCGGCCAGACATCTTGGCAGAATCCGGGACTACTCAGCTCCTAACTAACTGTAAGATAAAAAGGTGGATGTGCAGCCTGGTGGAGACCTGGTGGTGGTGGCTAAAATACCAGCTGCAACCCTTCCTCCACTGGTGATGATGACTACTAAAAACCGTTACAAAAGTCAGTCTTCAGTAATAAAGACACCATTTCAGTGTAAATACAACCGCCAGTACCGCTTAGCTCGACAGACGACACGTTACAGACTGCGTGTGACAAAGTCTTCGGCGGTGATCATACTTTTTTTTTTTTTTCTTTTTTTTTTCTCTGGCTTGTGTGCGAGTTAGCAGCCTAGCAAGCAAAGTTTCTTTGTGAGGATGTTGAGATATTTCACCCCGTTGTCGAACGAGGAAGCAGCTCCAGTTTCAAAAAAAGTCACTTTCACGTCAACTCCTACGTCTTCTGCGAGAGCCCGGACGTGTACTTCATTTTAGTTCTGTCGGGCTGGAGAGTATTTTTAATGGCCCAGAAAGTCCACACTTGTATTTCCCCACTACGCGTTCTTGGTCCTAACTCCAAACACCTCCACCACCACGCTGGAGTGGATTTAATTATATGGAGGGCGGGGTCCGACTTGGCGTCTCACTTTTGATTGGTTGATGGAGCCCCCGACTTCAATCCTATTGGATAGTTTCCCATCAATCCGTCAATCCTTCAGACAATGTAGTTGCTGTCACCGCCCCCAATCCATATCTCATATTAACTGATTTTCACCGTAAAACTTGTCATAATGCATAAAAGCGTTTGAGGTCTGTAAATGGACAGTTACAACTGTTAATTGCGACACAGAAATTGCATGGATTACTTTTTAAAACTTAATTGAGGGTTGAAGTAACTAGTTTACCATTTTGGTCCATGTATTTAAATAGTTTTTTGTTTGTTTTTTTAACTACAAATCATGAAGCCTTTATATTTTTCTGTCTATATTCAAATACATGCTATACAATTTGAGATTTTGTGTTTGATGTGTTTTTCCTACCTTGGTGTACATTCATTTTACAGCATGAAAACAACTGTGTAGACTCATGAAACTTAGTTTCAGTGGTGGAATACTTCATTTACTTCAGTACAATTTTAAGGTACTTTTAATTTACTAGTATATCCATTTTACACTACTTAATACTTCTACTCCACTATATTTTGGAAGCCAATAATGTACTTTTTACTCCACTACATTTATTTGACATTTGTTGTTAAAGTTAATTTGCAGATTATTGATACAAAATACAAATGATTAAACCACCCGGAAGTATTTCAAGTTTTTGAAATTAGCTCCACCTTTACTAGCTGCAACATTAGTAATACCAATAGTAATGTAATATTAATGCATTTTTCTAAAGTTGGTAATTCTGAATAATGAGTACTTTTACTTTTGGTACTTTAAGTATATTTTGGTGTTACGTGTAACAGAGTATTTTTGCACTGTGGTATTGCAACCTTGAATTAAGTAAACTAACTAAAGTAACTATTCTCACCAGTGTTATTTCCATCCCAGAGAGCATCAGGCCCACATCCATTTTTAATAGTGTCACACTATCGTTGTATGGTGATGCAATATACAAGATTGATTTGAAGAGTCTGCGCTGAATTACCTCATACCAATAATGTGATTGGACAAAAATTAATGCAGACTTATAAGTATAATGTATTTCACAACCAAAGCAAATTTCAGGGGTAAATAATAGATTTTTCATATCACAAAATATTATTCAATACATTTATGGAGACCATTGGATACCAGTAGGGAAATATGATCAATATTCTAAAACATAAAATTGTATATATATAAAGTATATGTGATCTGTAGTAAATGGGCTATAATATATATATATATTTTTAAAACTGGTATGGTTTCATCATCACCTTCATTCTCTAATTATTTCATCATACTATCCTGAGGCCTATTAAATCATCCCAGATGGGTGTGTGTGCACCATCTGGGTGGACTGTGAAGTGGTTTTTGGGTGTGCATGGGTCTGCGTGTTTGGAGATAAATGTCCAGACACTTTGTAAAAGGGAGTGCCAATGGTCAGACAAGAGAAGGGTGTAGAGATAACATGGCATGAACTTTTAGCGACACATCCTAGACCAGTGCTAAGGCTCCCATTGTCCCCTCACCCACCCCAAACTCGTCCAAAATGTGCACTTACTTAAACGAGACCTCGGTCCACGCTTAGATAACACACTCCTGCCTCTGGCACACCATAACGGGAGTGAATTTGCTTCATCACAGAGGGGTGAAGTGCTTAACCATGTGTCTAGCAGCCTGCTCATCTATCTAGTGCAAGATGAGCAGCTGCACCCAACAATTGATGTCACTTTTACAAAACAGCCAACGACAAAGCCAGATAACTAAAACCAACTTTCCCCCACCCTCCGGTATCCATTTATTTTACAGCCAGGCAGTTAATTGCACAGTATGTCGATCAGGAATGTATCTCCTATAATGCATGTCCAGCGTTTACCAAAGGACCTTCAGCTGCTGTTTGTTTAGCTCTGTGTATTTGTCTGTGTTAATGAATGAATGATCCTAACCTATGACCTCGCATAAGATATTTCAGACCCATTTAAGGAGAGACAATGTCCGGCTTCACAAAGTTAAGCTAAAAGGAGGGCATGAAAACAAAAAGTGACCTCTGCAAAGGGGGAGAGAGCGTGTGTCCAGTTTCTTGGACATACAGTAAGTTAAATTGTTGTGATGTCAGCTATTCATTTAGAGCCAATTCTATTTTGCTTCACATTCGTTTTTTGTGTCTGATCAGGTTAGTAATGAATTGACACTGCAGTTTCTGAGCGGCAAAATGTCAAGACTTGCAAGAAAATGATGCTGTTGACTGTAAATGTGGAGGCAATTCATGAACGAACAAGACTAAGAGTCTACAGCTCCATGTGTTACATGCTAACCTCATCGTGCTAACATGCTCACAACGACAATGCTAACGTAGATCGAGATGTTTTGTTGGTTTAAACTTCACTGTGTTTTCCATCTTAGTTTCGCGTGTTGGCAGGCTAACATTTACGAATTAACACTAAACACAGAGTGCAGCTGAGGCTGATGGAATTGGGATTAGTTATGCTGGTAGCGTAAAACAGTTCTTGACAAAATTCAACCTCATGGCGGCGCTATAGGAAAAAGACCTGGGAAAATGAAAGTCAGTTGTAGATGTGATATTTCACTAAGTGAAAACTTTGACCTGCTTGCGGTGGAAAAGTCAGGGAATCATGAAAGCCATTAGGATTCATCCTCTGGGGACCATGGATGTCATTAGTTTTACACGTATTTGGACACAGGGTTAAATAAAAGCACAAATTGACAGTGTCAACAGCGCTATTGGAAAAGTCAATAGAATACATTTTGTGGGGAACATGAATGACTGTAAAATTTCATGGCAACACACCCAATAGTTGTTGAGATGTTCTGGACCAAAGTGGTGAACCGACCGGCTGACATTACCATCGCTACAGCGAAAACCCCCCGAACATGCACAACCATTGCATTTACCAACATTTAATGTTTCAAAAAAAGGCAGTTTTATTGCAGTTTTTAAATGAGACAATATATCCCAACTTTCAACAGCAATTCATAAGATTGCAATTTACATGACGGTAAATAATACAAGCAACTATGTCATGAAATTAATTAAAATACAAAAAAGAACAGAGGAAAAAAAGAGCCAAAAATTAAAACGACAAACGCTCACACGTCGCACATTCACTATTTCTCTCCTGCTAAAACTACTCTATCAAGCCAGGTTTGTAGAAAAAGACAATGAAGACACTCATTCTGCATAGTCATAATACACTTTTGCATTTGTATGCAATAGATATTAAGTCTGCTTTTAATGTTCACACTGTAATGGCTCTGCAAACCTTTGTAGCCTGACAGTGTCACATCCTAAAATCTGTGTCTAACCTACTGTCTGATTGAAAAAGGCATATCATTTATCCAAATATCACAAAGCTTCTTCTGTTAATTCCAAATAATCATCATAAATCTCTCTGGGCCACTCAGCACAGTACAAGCCTCTCTTTTTTTATCTCTCTCATAATAGTGTAATATAATATGGCAAACCATTGTTTCTGTTCCCTAAAAGATTATAACAGCTCATCCACCCTGCGCTGCCAGTATTATGCAAGAGGCATAATAAGATACACAAACAGACTGATAAGACACAGACAAATGGACAAGTACATACAGGACAACCCTACAGTGAGTATGAATGTGACCAGTACAGATGTGACTGTAATTGCACAAAATCAAGCTTCATGATGTTTGCATTCCAGGAGACTTAATCATGTCAAGACAATTAGAGAGAGTGAAACTGCAGGAGGCTGTCTGGCAGTAAAGCAGCTCTTCCTGCATCTTTGTTGGACAGTCCCAGACAGAGAAGCTACTCTTTTTTAACAAATGCTTAAAAGGTGTAAGTCAAGACAGCGCCAGGCTCAGAGCGTAAAGGTAAAGGGACTCAAAGAAGGGCCACATAAGAGAGCATTTGTCCACCTCCCAAAAGCAGTCTTTTTGTATTCACGTTGAATTGTCTCAGTGTCAGTTAAGTTGTTGGCAGTGCGTCTTTGGCGCCCCCTAGCTGGGAGAGAGGGCAGGACTGCTCTCTGTGCTGATGTTGACCAGGCACTCGCTGGACTTGAGGCTAGCCAGAGACTTGCAGCTCCGGAGGGAGGCCAAGGACCCACAGAGGCCCATCATGGAGGGAGTGTAGTCCTTTTCTGAAGGGGTGGGACAGTCATACAAAAAGTGGGTCAAATCAAGTGTGTGTGTGTGTGTGTGCGTGTGTGTGTGTGTGTATGTGTGTGTGTTTACTCACTTATTATCTTATCAGAACCTATTGTGCAAAATGTCACCTGTGCTCCAGGCTCCTCCATTCTGTCTCCCCTCAGTCCTCCGAGAGTCTGAATCCAGGCTGATTTCTACGGACAGCAGCTCTGTGCTGGGGAAACTCCTCCTAAAGATCAACAGAAGGACAAATTAAGGAGGTAACAAGACAGCATGAGAGCAGCCAGGAAAATTGTGTGTGTGTGTGAGGGGGATTGTGGTACATATTGGCATGTATTATGTTTCCAGAGTTGATTGTTAAATTAAAAGTGTGCAAATTTACAGTATATTTTTGTTGTGTATGTCAGTTATCCTAAGAAATTGTTTTTCATATATATAAATATATACGATCCATCCAGAAGCAGGAAATAACCGTATTGCTCGTCATCCTTGTCAATATAACTAAATATTATCTTCAATCAAAAACGCTTGTTGACGATATAATGCAGAGTGTGGTGTGCATGTAAGTTCTGTTACACGAACCTGCGGAACAGCTTGACGTCGTCTTGGCTGTTGTATGGCTGCAGCGCCGGCCACTGGTTGACCAAAGGGATTGAAAGGTGTTTGGCCAGGTGTTTGGAGTCACAGGGAATCAAGCTTGTCCTGACGAACACGAGGATACAATATATTACTAAGAAGCAATCAAATCCTGGCCTGTACAGACACGTCAAAACCTTCAACTAAACCAATGAAAACGCGTATTATATTCAGTGGTTTTAAGCGTGCCACACCACCCTCTGTCTACACATCACTCACAGCTGCTCCTGAAGCTCCAGGACTATGGCCTCCAGTTCCTTCTTCTCCTGTGTGCTGTGGCTCTGTAGCTCCTCCAGTCGGGCCTTTAGCTTCTTGTTCTCTGTTTCTGTGCTCTTCAGCTGGGACTCACGCAGGCGCACAAGCTCCTCCAGGTAACCCTGATAACGCACATCCACACTGAGTGAAAGGAAATATCCACCCCTTGGACACTCATATTAGACATTGTCCATCTGAGATGATCAGCGTATTATACAAATTATTTTGTGATGTCGTAGTTTGGGGTGTGCCCACTTTTCCTCAACCCTCTGCAGTAAACACAAAAAACACTCAAAGTTGACATGCCATGTTTAACATATAACACTAACTAACACCTTTTTAAACACAGTTTCTTCAAACAATACAATCCTGTGTATTTTCAAACACAAAAAAATATGGCTGCACACCTTTTGAGCATTGACAATCTTGAACCTCTGCTCCATCTTGCGGCACTTTGTGCTCCAGCTCTCCTCGTCTGTGACCAGAGGGATGTAGGGGTGTTCGGGGACGCTGTCGTCGCTTGTGCTGCTTTCAACACTCTGCTGATCGTCATCATCACTCAGGTAATCATAGCTACAACAGGCGCAGTCAAATTATTTATTTTCAAGCCCTCAGCATCAAAGTGTATTGTGTTTCCAAGTATTTAAGGTACGAGGAGAATAAATCTCTTGTGATAAAGCTTTTTCTTCGCAGTGTCATTGAACATACCTTTGTGTGAATTTCAAGTACGGTGTGTAGTCAATCACTGCAGAACATTTCCCATCCAAGGCCTCCCCTTTCAGACAGAAACTATGGAGGTGAAACCACACAGATATAAGTCAAGAAATATGCATACCGGTCTAAAACAATCAGTGTGATGCATAAGATGTCCTAGAATACAGGTCAAGTCCCCTCACCTGAAGTCTATGGCTCCGAGACCTATGAGCATCCCTGTTAGGACAGTGGCTTCTTCTCTTAACACGATGGCTCCCTCTGCATAGAACCTCCTAAAGCACAGAGACAAGTACAAGCAGGTGAGAACATGGTTCTAGTCGGGATGGCGTATAGTTAGGTGCGTGCGTGGCCTCCAACCTGGTCGTTCTGCTGTCCCTCAGAGCAGTAGCGATGTATTCAGACAGCCTCTTCTCCATCAGGGCGACTCTTATCCAGGCTCGCCCCTGAAGGAGTCGCAAAAGGTGTTAAGAAATGAACACACACCCATTTTGACCATTATATATATATTTTTTTTAAATCTTCACTACCCCCACAATAACACAGAAAGTGACTGAATACGCTCAATGACTAAAATAGGTGTGCATATCCTCTCAGTTTTCTATGACCATTATTACTGTGTGTGTTTATACAACTTGCCTTGGCTCGTGAGGTGCTGATGTTCTCCATGTTCTCAATGCTGCCGATGCAGCTGTTGGGGACTTTAGCGCAGGACAGACGGACGTAGTCCCAGTAACTCCTCTGACCATCAAACCAGCTGCCGGAGCCTAAAAGACAGTGAACACATGAACATTGTTATATTATGTTGTATTGATATGTTGAACTTAGCTGTCGACATATGTAACGTGTTTATTTCTTTCAGATGACAGAGGGTGGAGTCTTGGGCAGCTAGAGTAAGAGAGGAAGCCCACCGTGTTTGATCAAAACAACCTTGTTGCCATTTTAAAAAGATTATTTGTTTTATGCACTTTTTTTTAAAGGCGAAGAGAAAATATTAATGTAGAGAGAGATAATTAAATGTATTCTACTTAATGTCAAATGACAAATCACTTCATTTCCTTTTTTTAATTTTGAATATTGACAAAGTTAGTATGGATACTTTATTGTCTTCTAAAAATCCATGATCTATAACAGCATTTGAGTATGTTTTTTTTGACTTTCTTTAACATGCAGTCAATCCCAGACAAATTCCCTGTCGGCTCATTACCTTTGAAACGGTGGCTGAGGATGTGTTCAAGGATGGCTGCGAAATTGATGAACTCCTCAGAGGAATCATCTATTGGCTCGGCTGTGTATTTCTCTAACAGCGTCTTTACCGAAAACCTAGAGAAAGAGAAGAGTTAAGCAAAGAGTTTGGTTGCCAGTAATAAAGTCATCATGGGTCATTGAACAGATTATTGGATTACTGCTTTCTTTGTTTAATGTTGGAGGAACACCTCATAGATCAAACTATAATTTAACTTTTTGGAATCGCTACTGGATGAAAAGAAATCACATAAGTCCATGTAAGGAATAATGAATACAGTGAAAGAAAGTGAAATAACATCAAAAGCATCTAAATCAGAACCTACGTTAAATACACACTATGTGTTTATCCCATATATTTTCTTGTCGATATTGATTTCTGCCCACAGTCACACTCTATTATCCATATCCGGCTGACTCACCCATTTACTGCAAGGAAGCCGTTCATGAAAAGCTTTCAGGAAGAACCAACAACTCAGTTTACTTGGAACTGGAGAGCTTGAACTTATGACTCTAGTCTGATGTAATACCTTCAAAGTTATAAAGATGCCAGCTCTTATGATGCACTTCGCTGTATATGGTTTACACTTTGAGTATATTAATAATTTGGGAAAACAAATTCAGCCAAATGCCCCAGGACAAACAGTTTGAAGCATAACAACTGTCAGAAGCATTTGGTCACAAACTGAAATTTTGGGCAGCATTTATGTCTGTAACAAATTCAGCTGTTGAAATATTTCATTCTGGACCAAAGTGGCGGACCGAGTGACCAACATTGCCATTCATAGATGGCTAGCACAGCTAGATATTATAAATAACTAATGGATTTTAGTGTAAAAATGTACCTGCATATTTAAAGGGGTGACCTCCTGCCATTACATATAAACAACCCATTCTGTTTATTTAAGGCAACATTATCCTTCTGCTAAAATGACCAATCCACTTAATATTTTCCGGGAGACTAAATAATTCAGCAGGTCCATTTGCTGGAAGAACACCTGCCAAATGCTATTTGTCCAGTGACAAGGAGATATGCTGTGGGGCAGAGGTGCCCCCAAGCCATTGTTTTGCAAGTCACAAGTAAATCTCAAGTCTTTGCACTCAAGTCCTAAGTCAAGTCCCGAGTCAAATTCCAAGTCTGACTTTTTAAACAACATACTTTTTCATCTTTAGGCTTTGGGGAAGGTATCAAGTATTTTTAAGTCAAAAGGCTCAAGTCCAAGTGAAGTCAGCAGTCATTGGTGTTAAAGTCCAAATTGAGTTGCAAGTCTTTTTTGATTTTGTCAAGTCGAGTCTAAAGGACAGTGCACTTGAGTTCAAGTCATGTGACTTGAGTCCGCACCCCTGCAGTGGGGTGACAGGGGCAATATGGACCACAGCCCTGGTCGACATGACCTCTGCAGTAGATGGAGAGACACTACTTCTGATATAGAGAGTGCTCATGTTTGGCTGACTTCTTAGTAAAACGCATTTTACGGTACACACACTGTCAGTTTGCTTGTTTTTGCGCGTGTGTCCGTAAGACAATGCAAACAGGCCATTGAGCCAAGTGATTTCACCCCCTATTGTTCCAGAGGCAACAATGTCTCATTCAGCTGCTCTGACTGTGGCCAGATACTGGACAATAATTGGCTGCACAATCCCCCGTGTTTTCACCGTATTACAGACAACAGGGATATGACTTGACCCAGATAAGCTTGTCAGTGGCTCAGCGGAGGTGCAGTCTTGTTCACCTGCACCAGGTATGTGAATATGTGTGGTTTGACATACAAGAACATAATGTATGACCGGACATGTGACTGGAGTCCACATGTCCAGTCCGTGGACTGAAGTCACATGACTTGGGCTTAAAATAGACCCATGAAACCGATATGAGTTATTTGACTTTGACTTTGACGTGAACATCAATGACTTGAATCTTGGAAGAACAAGCAGCATATTTAGAGACAGCATGAACCTAAAGCCAGGGTTTAGTCATTAACTGCGCTTTTACAATTAATTAATGACTATATCATTAGAGCAACATTTCTTTAAGGTGTCTAGCATTGATTATCTTTGTATCAAAAGAGGTTATTTAATCTGAATTAGATCCTGCTTGTATTGTCTTTTTATTTTACTGCCAAGCTCAGCGGCACCTTGGTTTTGAAAAAGCCTAAATCTAATTGAATCTATCACTACAGTGCAGGCTATACATCTGTTTCATAAATCACCATGTACTACCATTTAATAAATCAGCAAGTAGGCTGATTGCCACAAAGTGTACGAGACATGATTTATGTTTATTTAAACCTGCAATAAATGGAAGTTCTATTTGCTCCTCTTTTTAGCTCTGATTTTAGTCTCCTGAGGGAAATATCTGGCTCATTGGCTGCTAAATGATCCATTATATTCACTAGCTAGTAACTAACTGTGTCTGTCATTTTTTGCTGAGCCATTTTAGAGCCATTTATCTCAAACCAGCGGTCTGCACCTATATGACACTATGAGTCACGACTGTGAGAGTGAACCAAAACAGTATTCTAAAGTTGAGGGCCAGTAAATCAAAGCAACGAGCTGAAACTGCCAAGTCTCCGGGTTCGTCACTACAAGTGACCCAGTTCACATTACGCATCATTTCATCCATTGTTATTATAAAAACATGAATTATAGCAGCTTTAAATGTGACTTTAACTGTGGCTGTTTACATTTTAAATAAGACTCAACTACAGACAGCATCTCTGGATCTGACAGAAGTTTTATTTTCCTCAAAGTCTCCTCAGTAAGTTGCAGAATAAATGAATGTAAACACAGTAGTAATAGTTTGTGTCTTTGCATACACTGTATATAGCATGAATGTAGTATGTTAATGTCTCTTTGGGTTCAAGCTTTGTCAAAGGGCAATATTAGTTCAAACCCTCATTCAAAAACCCCACAAAGTCCTATCAGGACTTGATGTACAGCCCCCTGTCTCCCCGCCCTGCCTCCCTTGGGTGCCAGCTAGTCCTTGCCCCAGGAAGGTTGTCGTCATAGCATCCACGCCATCAGCGCGGGGGGGGGGGGTAAGCCGCACTGACAAAGATGACATTGCTAAACTCACACAGAGAGCCCAGTCTGTGGATTGTCTGATTGTGTATATTAAATAAAAATAAAAATAAATGTTTGTATGAAAAGGTCGTGAAAGCACATACAGGCTTCATATGTCCAGGCCCACTGTCGGTACAGAGTTCATTAAAATGACTTATTATGAGGATGACGTAAGCGTGCATGTCAAAATATGTCTTATGTGCGTTTATTATCTATGGTAAGAATAAAAACACCACCAAAGCCAAAGACAACATATAACACATGCCCACTTGCTACAGATAATAAATACCATTAACCTAGTAAATCCTCCACTCATATCAGAGCACATGCACTTAAACCATAAAAATAAACCGACCTGCAGACGGTGATGAGGTTTTTTCGCTCCACCGCCACGTTCCGAACCGACGCTTTTTTCGAGACATCTCCCATGGCCATCGCTGCCTGCACACAGCCGGGCTCCATCCAGGAGGAGGAGGCAGCCCTGAAATTCAAAGGACCGCTCCCTGTCGGCCACCGGCCCTCCTCATTCACTCCCGGACGCCAGAGAGGATGCTGCCGGGCCGCACCAGAGCCGCTGACAGCCGGCGCTGGTACTTTATCTTACGGCGGAGGATACAGAGCTTCGGACATCAGATACATTATTATTATTACTCTTATACACAGAGGACCGAATTACATCTCTCTCTCTCTCTCTCTCTCTCTCTCTCTCTCTCTCTCTCTCTCTCTCCCCCCGCCTACTTTTTGACTTCATCATGACGTCACTGGGTCAGCTCTCATCATGACTGAACATGACGAATCACCTCAGTGTTTTGAGTGACACATCCACATTTTTAGGGTATAGTTTCCTGCTTTAAAACACAGCGTTGACATTTTTATTCTGCATGTAGGACTTCAATATTATGCAAATAAAATATATTTGACATACATTGACCTGGCCGATATTTAGTTTAATAACCAAGTGCTAAATATTTACATTTCTTGTTCAACAACAGAGTCTGTAAATGGTTTTACAGTACAATGCCAGTGATATCATCACCTCCAGCAGCACCACCACAGTCATCATGCTGGATCATTTCCTCCTCCTGTAATTTCCGCTCAGGCTCCCCTTCACTCTCCTCCCTCCCTTCTTTTGCCGTCTCCTGACTACGGTCAGGTCAGCAGACACTCGGATCTCCGTGGTCAACCCAGCAGATACTTACATTTTAGTGCGCCTATATGCTGAAATTCACGGTAAACGCATTCAAACGGCACAGATCGGGAGCGAGCGAAGGACTTTGCAAAGTTAGCGGAAAGATTATCGTGAGACAACATCCTGTTTTCAAAATAAGATGTCAAGTAAGCGGGAAAGATTACCATCAGACAACATCCGGTTTCCAAAATAGGATGTAAACTAAGCGTATACAAATTGCATTTGTGGAAATAAGATGAAATGAATATTAACATTTTAACTGAGCATCTTGGTGTTTGGAGCTATGCTACGCTAACCTGAGGACGCCATAGCACGGAAGAACACGACGACCGAACGCCAAACGCTGCGACCGAACGCCGGCCGGCGAAATACAACTGGGGGAGAGGCTCGACTGACTTTGTGGTTGTCATTGTATTAACTACGTTGATTTTGACTGTGCATTGTCCGTTAATGACGCAGCGTCCCGTCATGCACGGATTCATGTATCTGCACCGTAGCTGTTCAACTGTAGTAGGGCAGCACAGAAGGCCCAGGCATAAAATGCACGGCCCGCCACTGGTATACGCTTAGTTGACATCTTGTTATGGAAACCGGATGATGTCTCACGTAAATGTTTCTCGCTTAGTTGACATCTTATTTTGAAAGCCGGATGTTATCTCACGTTAATCCCTCCGCTAACTTTGCAAAGTCCTTCGCTCGCTCCCGATCTGTTCCGTTTGAATGCGTTTACCGTGAATTTCAGCATATAGGCGCACTAAAATTCAAGTGTCTGCTGAGTTGACCACGGAGATCTGAGTGTCTGCTGAGTTCACTGCGGTGTCTCCTGCTACCAGATGAGGATACCGTGTATCTGGAGCCAACTGAACTGATTCAAGTGGCATCAAATGGTGACCCTTTGGTCCCCAACCTCTCCTCTCTAATGAACTGACAGCTGGTTGCCACCACACGTTGCTGGGTGGGGGTTGGGCTTTTTGTCCTGCGGTGCAGGAGCAATCACTCATGCATATATGTGTCTGGTGCTCCGTATGTTTGAATGCTTCATGTTGTGTTTTGACACCAGAGCTGTGAAATGTTCAACTATAATCTGTAATCTAAAATGAGATTTAGGAGTAAAGAGATGTAATATGCAGAGACACCGGTGTTTTTGGTTTGGTTTCCCTGAGCAGATTTTATATGTGATAACGGTTTTATTGCTCAATATATAATGATGTATGGGCTCAAGCTTTTGATAATATCATTTCTGATGAGTTTTTTCTGGTTGGGTGAACATTAAAAAGGCACCTGATTTTTGGCAGATTTTATTTTCCGAGCTTTGGACTGGAGACAAAGTTCTTTGTTCGCAATGTACTGTTATATAAAGGAAGTTCTGTTCTTGTCGGACAGTGACACCCCTGCAACGATCGGTGTCGTATAAATCCATGCTTGGAGTATAATATTCATGATAACAAAGTAGCAAACTAATGTCATCCCCTTCAGTATCACAATAATGCACTTTATGTACTTCAAATGTCCTGAAAAACAATGATAAACAAGTCAAACTCTGTTCTAAAATGTTTGTGCATTATTTTAATGTCTTGCATTGACTGTATGTGTTAAGGGTCTGAAAGGGTCATGTGCTTTTCCACCCTCGTCTCCCTGCGGGTTTAAAGGATCTACATTGTCTGAATGTCAAAAACAATTGCTTGATAATGTGTTCCATTTCATTTGATTTTTTTTGTGGCAAAAACCAGCGAGGACATTTTAATTTGCAATGCTTATATTTTTTTGCAACAGGGGGCAGAGCTTTGGTATCTTCCCTTATAACTTAAAGGGGAGGTCTATCGCACTTCCATATGTCTGGGGGCTCACAAGAGATAGAAAAAAAAGATTCGTCAAAATGTAAAGCAGCATTGGCAAAGAGCTAATATTTTCTCAACTTCACTGGGATTGTGAAATAAAAATATTGATGTTGTGTTTTCCAGTGCTAACATTAGATATAAGCAGCTAGAAGTGATTTTCTTCTGCTGACCTCACGTCATTCTAAGCTCATGTATTTCAGAAATTTGATGATGAGTCTTTTTCTTCCGAGTGCAACTGTCATATTGAGCCATACTGAACTTCATTGTCTTCGTTGTTGGCCTCCAGTAACATTGGTGACAAATCTGTTGTACTCAGTGTCGGTCTCACACTGTGCGGACAGAGACGAGAAAGAAAGCCCTCGTGTCTTCTGCTCCAGCCACTCATAGAGATATAGTCTGCAAAGGGAAATTAAATTGATGAATCTGATATCTGTGCCAAGACCATTGTTAACTCTATGATGGATGACTCCATTCTTAATTTAGCCATATTCTATTATCTTTACTGTTGTTATTTGTGTTGCTGTAATATAAAAGTATTTGATAACCACTTAAAAGGTGAGTGTAATTTTGTGTTGAAGCAGTTTTCATCACACACGGATAAACTTTTTTTTAAATTAATAGTGAGTGTGCCCTGAAAATACACACTTTTCTGACATAGAGCCAAGAAGTAGTAAATCAACTCCATTCCGTTTAGTTCAGTTTAATTTAATTCACTTTATTAAAACTCTCAAGGCCTACTCCCAAAACATTTATACACTTTTATTTCACTGTACATGCCTCTCTATTTCCAGACACCTAAACAGTCCTGAAATATTTACACGGCCTGTTTACTTTGTGAATACTGGTGGCTTGTGCTGCAGGTCTGTCGCACATGCTCGAGGTCTATACAAACGGCTCAGGTGCCTCCTGCTCCGAGTCGAGGCCTGAGGGGAGAGTGTGAAATTCTGGACAGTGTTGTGAAGTGTTCGGGGCAGAGGTTACACGGAGGAAAGGGTTGGTGTTTAGCCCACGAGGTGCAAAAGGCTTATGCATCAGCCTCCAGGGGTCCTGTCAGACAATATGGACAACAACAACGGTGCAGAAAGACAGTACCTGTCTAGACACGCTGTCTGGACACGAATGACTGTTACAAAGGATCAAATTTGGACAGTTAGCTCGCTAAAGTACCCACTAACTCCTGCTTACTCTATCATAAATGTGTGGCTGATTTGCATGGAGGTCAAAATTGGTACAGCAGATTCATAGACAGAGGCCATTCATACACACACACACACACACACACACACACACACACACACACACACACACAAGTGCAGTTTGAACTGGGGTCAGCCAGTCTGGCCTTGAAAAATACAACACAGGAAAGATGTGTCGATAGATCCACACCACAAAAAAGTCTCCCTGTTTAAACATCCAGGTCTGTCCCTTGACTGTTCTGAATTCTCTGCAGCATCACATCGTCACAGATTATCTTCAGTCTGTCTGTTCACAAGACTTACACATTCATTGAAAGCATATAAATATTTATGTTCATATGACGTACACTGACATAAATTAAATAGATACACAAGAAATTCATCAGTTAAGACTGAAAGTTCTTTCTTAATTAAAAGAAGTTGACAAAACAATCTCAACACAAGTAACTTGAAATGTCTAGTTTAGCAGTTCCTCAGTCTTGTAGATGAAGCTCAGCTTAAGTTCAGTCAGGAAGACTAACTTTATGCATCATTCATTCACTTCCTCCACCCCATTCACCTCAATCATATTCACTGGACAGGTTTAGCAAAACAGAAGTGGAACAGTTACGATGGGGTCGAATCTCTAAACACTATTCACAGTTCTCCTCCGGTTGTGCACATGAAGTCTCTCCTGATTGAAATCAAAATAGAGGCTTGTAAAGATGACCACTCTCAGGTGAAGTCAGAACAATTCATCCCTTTCATCATCTTCCTTGAGTCCAGTACTTCATTTATGCTCATCTGTCTATATTTATCAAAACAATCACAAGATGGTCTCCACCTCTTTCGGAGATAAGCAGCCGTCTCCACCTTCTGCTCCAGTGGTTTGGGCTGGAGACGCTCCATGACTTTCGGTATCATGATTTCCCTTGCTTGCTCTGGCATGCCTGGCAAAAACTCCAGACTCTGTCATCCCTGGTTTCCTCACACCCAGCTCCTCCTGTGTGGGGCCGGAGGTCTCAGTATCAGCGGGCACATATCCAGGCAGGCTGAATTGCGGGTGGAAAGAGCCGTGACGTGCCGGCCTGACCCCTGACCCTCCAACGGCAGCACCACCACCAGAGCCCACGGCGGCTCCGGTGAAGGAAAGAGCTCTGGGATTGGCAGCAGACAAGCTGACGCTGTGGGTAGTGGTGTGTGACATCATGCCGCCGTAGTAACAGCTGCCTCCGCTGCTGGTCATCCTGGTTTTCTGTTTGATGTCCAACGCGATGCTGCGTCTTAACCACGCCTTCTTTACCTCTGCCTGCACCTGAGGACAAGAAGAGGGAGACAAACAGAAAGTTCTGTTTGTCTTTTTTTTAGTTTTGAGTTCACACTTTAATTAAAACTAAGTGATGGCTTCATTACCTCTCCGTTGCAGAAACAGTAGATAAAGGCCACAAAAAAGCCCTGGAAAAATGAAATTGAGACTTTATTAAAAATGAGTTCACCAAAATGTTGTATTGCATTTAGACACTGAAAAACTACTTGGACTTCTTTTTTGCCACAATATGCTTATTTGCTTTCTTGCCGAGATTTTGATGAGAAGATCCACATTACTCTCATGTCTGTACACCAAATATGAAGCTACAGCCAGCAGACAGTTAGCTTAGCTTAGCATAGCCTGGCTCTCTACTGAAAAGTTAATGAAAAACTCTAAACCCTTTGTTCATTTTTAACATGGAAATGAGAGTTATATCAATCTTCTCAAGAAAGTGAATAAGCGTATTTCCCAAAATGTTGAACCATTGCTTTAAGTGTATAAAAGATTATGATTACACATACTTGTTGAAATATGTTATGAGAAATTCTGGGAATTTAGCTCAAACAGAAAACCCATTCAAATTTTGGAATTTTGCACTTTTTTTCTCTATTACTTTTATCATAAAAGTTAGTAATGCTAGTTTAAGTTAACCCTTGCATCACATTATTGCTTGCAGAGTTTATAAATGTGTTTTCTGACCTGGGATGAATTGAAGAACATCTCATAATGCATTTGAACCTGCCACAGCAGCCCGGTGACCTCAGTGTAGGGAAGAGCCATGAACACCATGTAGTGAACTCCAAACAAGGGCATGAGGACTAATGTGGACTTGAGCAGCTTCCTGCAGATTAAGGGCGTAAACATCCATGTAAGACTGTCTGGTCGAAGGATGGTAGCATCATTTGAAAGATTGTCACTTAAAATAAATATTACCGATATTGCTTCCGAGGGTCCAATTTACCAGTGTTTGTTTCCCACAGTTTAGAGGCCAGTACACGTATTATGTTGACGAAGAGGAGGAAATTCACCTACAGGGACAGAGGTGTAAAGTAAGGCCAATGTTATATTCAGCCCAAGTGTCAAATATCCTTTCATAGTATTAACATGTATCATTTGTTACTTACAACAATGGCAGCCAGAATGGGAACTTGATAGATCCACTTTAGGTTTCCTGCACTGATGTCCCAACATCTGAAAGAGGAGACAGAAGAGTTAAAGTGAGCATTTGTGATACCCGTGTCATGTTGATATTTGACAAATAAATGCGTCACATGACTCACTGTGTGTCTGCCAGCGATGCTCGAGCACTGACCCAAACAGACACAAACACAGATGGAGCACCTGAGATGAGTGGAGAGAACAAAAATATATTTTTAATTCTCTGTTAGCTCTATATGCGACAACAGCGTATCTGGCCCAATACAGCTTACCCCAACCGATGATGGTGAGGGCCCATAGGTAGTTCTTGTCAGAAAGGAAGGCCATGAAGATGAGGCTATGTAGATACAACCCCTCCACCAGGATCCAGTAATGATTGGTTGCCAGGAAATAAAGGAAAAGCGTAACAGCAACTTTACAGCCAGCCTGAGGACAGAAAGCAGCACAGAAAGGAAACATTCAAACAGGCCATAAACTGGCTCATGTTTTATTTCTTATGGGAATAGTCAGACATTTAGCTTTTGCTTTCTTGCCAAGAGTAAGATGAGAAAGAAGATGACAATGTCAATATGAAGCCTCAGCCAGCAGCAAGTTAGATTAGCTTAGCATAAAGACTGGAAACAGGGGGAAACAGCTAGCCTGGCTCTGTCAAAATGAAACAAAATCCACCTACCAGCACTGCTAAAGCTCAACAGTTAGCATGTTAAACTGTAAAAGTGACAATGTGCAGTTGCCTGGCAGATAAATCAATTGAGCATATTTCCAGAAATATCAAACTATTTCTTTCAAACACACCACATACAGTGTATCATCTCTAGATCTTATTAGACACTAAATGTAATTTCACGTACAAAAACATGAGCTGGTATTGCACCCTAATGTGGACCAACATTACTGTGCTAACAACATACAGTTTTGATGTTAAAAGTTTATGAAAACAATTCAAATAAAACCTAGTACACATGATGGTGAAAATAGAACCATAATGTTTACCATAGGGGACTTCTGTGTAGTGAACTCAGGCTCATCCTCTCTGTCTTCAGATATGGAGTGGAGCACAGCGTCCTTCACAAAAATGCTGACTGCTCGACATATGAAGGAGGTGAAGAGGTGAATGTGGATGTAATTACGTGTGCAGTGGAGACGCCTGAAAGATTATGGACAAATTCTTTCAGTTACATATCACTGGAGGTGGAGACAACTGAAAATGAATGCCAATACTTTTGACGTGGAGTTATGGTTCGTATAATTTTAGTTTCTTACTTGAAATAGCAGAGGATGGAGACTGCCACCAAAAGCGATGCTAGAGAAATGGAGTAGCCAACAGTGTACATGAGGTGGAGTCTCTCAAACACCTTCTGGGGCAAAAAAAAACATACTTCGAGTGTGCAGATGCACGAGACTTTGGTGACCAGAAAAACAGCAGGTCAGCATGGTGAAACAGAACACAGAGGCTAAACAGCATTATTCTGCAAACAGTCAGGAACCGAACACATCTGTGTGTATATTCGCATCAAGACAAACACACGTGTGCGTACCTCCTCTTGGCTCCTGTGGTTGGAGGTCAAGTATGTGGTGCACTCAGTGTAGTTAGCCCAAGTGCGGTTGATACTGGGCACCTGCTCCCAGCTCCCTGACGCGTCACACTGGCGGTAGGCTCGCCCTTAGTGCAGGACACGTGCACAACATTAGCACAACAGTCTGTGATACAATTTGTGTCATTTCAAATTCACGCACAGTGTCTTTTGAGCCCTCCCACCTCTGTGATTGAAGTCGTAGATGTACTGTGGACACAGCACTGACACCAGCTGGCCCGCTCTGCTCCGTGGCCAGCAGATGATCCCGTCCCACTCTGGGATGCAGTCACCTTCTTCACACATAATGGGAAACAGCTGTTAGCTATAGTTTGAGCTTTCTTACAGACTTATGTGCCCTATGGCACAGGCCCAGTTGTTGGCTTAGAAAATATAATCTGCATCACAGTATTTTGTGTGATATCTATGGACAGGGATGTCATTGTGGATCTGCATTTCACTGAGCCTCTCTTATACCTCACCAGTCTTCAGACTGAGGCTCCATCTTATATAATTCCTCCTCCAGATAGATCAGTGAAGCAATTTATCATCAGCTTCTACGTCATCATGTGAATGAAAAATGCCCCGCTATTGTCTGCACCTAAATTCAACTCTGTAACCGCATAGATACTGCTCAGCAGGATATTGGATGGGTGTTATATCTGATCCTGAAAAAAAATAATTGATGTAATAAATATGGTTTCTGATTATGTATTTGGACATGCACTCCCTGACCTCGTGTTTTTTTTAATACTAACAGTGGATGTGCTAAAGGACCGTACTCCCATAATAGGGGGAGATTTTGAAAGGGGAAAAACAACTCGTTTACCCAGGTGGCAAAATCAACATATTCCCAATGTTGACTTTTTACCTGAAGTGAAGGTTTAAATGTGATTTTATAGATAAAAATACATTTGATGGATGGATTATGTATAAAAATGTGGCTAAAACACACTGACACAATGGAACCAAGTCAGTGCTAGACATTTTACAAATATCAATTTTATACAGTTTATTGTACAGTTTTAGGAGTTAGCTAACATTTTCCTTGCAGAGACAATTATTTAAAACGTGATCAGGACACAGAGCTGTCGACTTCCACACGCTGTGACCTTTTGACGACAGGATAACTAACCAAAACGGAGCACTCTCCCTTCCCTACTTTTAATGAATAACATGATCAAGAGCTGCACGCAGACCTTTAACCAGGGACATATGTGCCTGGATGCTCCTCTCACACTTGGCGTGAGCACCAATCAGAACGTAGATCTGCTCATCTCGTGTGATGACATCATCAGAGTCTATCTGTAGAGGGCGGATAAGAGAGAGATGACAAATTGTTAAGACAAGAATGTGAGACATGCAGTATAGTGTTGTGTGTGGGATACCAGCAACTTCTCGTAGTTGCATATGGCTTGAAATACACAGTTAATTTACAAAACTGCTCCTTGAAATAAATCTAAAACGCCTGGGACGAATGTAAAAGTATCCATGCTTTGATTGGGTTGTTCAGTATTTGTACAAGACTAAAGTGCAACGTAAGCTCATCTGAGCAGCTACACCGTTTATTTATCTATTAATGTACCAAAAGACATTAACAGTTTCCCTTTTAAAAGTCTCTCTGAAGTCTCTTTCTAGCTTGGGTGATCTGTCAACAACAAACCCTCCCAAGGATCTGATGCGCTAACTCCAGGTGAAATATTTGTGTGAGGGTGCGGTATGTCATGATCCCTCGCCAACCCTCTTTTCTTTTTTTTCCCAGCGGCGGGGCTGCCGCTGGCCACATGGGGGCTTTGTCCTCAGCACGCCATGCTGGTGAGGTCTACACAGGCAGCTTTGTGTTCCCGGGTACCTTTCACAACAGAGCAGCAAAACTAGCTACTAGACAACTCACACGAGACGTGTTTGACCGGCAGAAGAGGACAGTGAGAGAGGCGATTAGGCTGAAAGATACAAAGAGAGAGAAACAAACACCTGAGCAAAAGTTGGTGAAGAGGTAGTAAAAAAAGTTCCGTTGGTATAAACAATCTCATAATATATGATAATATATCCCTGAGAACTTTTACCCTTGATACTTTAAGCACTAACACGTCTGTACTGACTTAAATATGGGAGTTTTAGTTGCATTATTACATTGCTGTAGCCTAAGTATTGGTACTATTACTTGAATATATTTTTCCACCACTGCTTCTCTCAGCCATCATGGCAAGATAAAGAAAACTTCTCACTCTCGTTAAACAGACTAAAGCCCAACTGGAACCGTTTATGTCGATGGATACGTGATAACTAACATTCTTGGCATAAGCCATCAAAATAAACAGCCAATAGGAGAACAGTGTTTCCAGTATTGTAGCACTGAGAATGCTGAACAGTCATCACAGTGATTTGTATTTGGAGGGAAAGCCAAAGTCAATACAGACATATTGAACCACTCAAACCACTTGTTGTTGTATAATGGACTGTGGAAACACTGGCTGTGTTGGCAATCACATTTTAAACACACGCCGATTATTCATGACCACAATTAGCTGTTCAAGTTTTTTGTCAAACAAAGTCTCTGCCTCAACAAAACATCCTCATAATTCAATAAATGCAAGTCAATACGGAGAAGGCGTTCACTTTTCTTTGCACAGGAGGGTTTTCTGCTGATGGACAGGGAGTGTTAACAAAACAATCAGGCTTAGACATCTCCTCGCCTTTGTGTCATATTTGAATTTGCTCTCTCAGTCCTTTGCTTCATGTAAAGTGATTTTCGGGATGACTGAGCAGGAGGTTGTATAGTCTGCCTGAGGTCGACACTCAGGATCGACCCGAGGAAGACAAAGAGTTCGGAGCTCAGAAGCGACAGTGGTCAGTGTGAGCTGCAGGAGGGTCATGCTTCAGCGGGTGAAAGCTTAAAGGGGTCAGAGCTTATGGTGGTTTGTGAGGTAAAGAAAGCAGACCACATGGGATTTGTGATGGTGGAGATTGAAGGCTCCCTTATGTGTGTGTGCGTGTGTGTGCCATTGCAATCCCCTACTTTTTTTCAAAGTAATTTTCCTATTTGGACATGAGATTTTGAAGGCAAATTTGCAAAATATCCTATCAGCTGTTATGTTGTTAATGATTAGTCGTTGCTGTTCTTTTAAAGAAGGGTTTGTGCTGCAAAGAACACAATCTAAGTTATTCCATATCACCTTATGTGTTAAAAATAAAGAACCACTCATCTATCTATGGTCAATGGCTGGCACATTTCCCCAAAGCACAAGATTAATCTATGTCCAAACTTCAAACGATCAAAGAAAGTCACAGATACATGACATTTTTCTACATTTGGGCTCAAAGTGCAGCAGTATGGGAGCATTATTTCTGACTCAGTGTCATATCATAGTGTAAGATATGATGCTACTGTGTGAAAAGTTTAAATTTAGAACATAAAAACCATCCCTTCAGAAGTTTACGCTGGACTGTGAGACTGAGAAATGACTTACTGCTGTGTTCATATTGTTTAAGCTGGTGATTTTCCCATGATTATAAGAAGATTCATGTTTCTATCATCATTCCAATCAAATAAGATCCACGAGAACATGTTTGCACAAATTACAAACTGTAAAAAAAAAAAATTAATTGTTGCACATATTCATGTTTGGCTTGAGAAACTAAAACTATAAATGGAAATAGAAGAAAACTTGTTTGGCTTTAGAGCTTGACAAACTCTTGTAGACAATCTATGATGAATTTAATCAAAGAAGTAATCAATAACTCAATCACCCAAACACAGGATAAAGACAGTACACTTACCAGTGCGGTCACTAGTATGACACTGTGGAATACAACCAATGCACCGGTTCCCTGTGCAGACAACATCACGTCTTTATAACTGTCGACTCAAACAGGACCTTTAATCACCATCAGATCATCTTATCCTCCTCGGGTTGAATCGGAGGAACTCGTATCCCAAAGTTAAGGGCTGTTTTGTACCTGCAGATTGTAGTTATTTGTGTTTCATCTGTCCATTTTAGGATCTTCTTGAGCTTTGGGGTCTTTTGACATCCAGAAATGATGTTTTAAAAAGGTCTCCTCTCTCCAGTGGACATCACTAATCAGGTTTGAGACAGACCATAGAAGTCAGTCTGTATTGTGAGAAGGGAGGGAGCACTGTGGATGAAATCTCCTCCTTTCAGTTTTTTGGACTGTCGTCTATCAGAGACTGTTGGCCTTGATTGGCTGTGGCTTCATCTCACTTAACTCTTTGTGCTCCTCGGCCGCGGTCATCCGTCTGTGTATCTGTTCGTCCTGTCTGCTGATGTCTTTTTGCTCTTATCTCCTTCCAGACAGAGTAGTCTTAGCTCTTACCATCCAGTAACCATGCGATGGTCACACAGATTCTTCCGAAATTCAGCGCAAACAGTATGTTCCTGTTTTTTGAATCCTGGACAAGAGGCTGAATCATAGGACTATTATTGTTATGTTCCATCATTATAAATAGATGCGGTGTGATTTAATGAACTTCGTTCCCATGGCAAGAGACCAACATTTCTTCTCCCGTTCCCACGCTGGGACATTTTAGAAGACACTGGGAAAGACCAGATTCACACTGCCTGCTGTTTGGGCCAATTAGATGCAACCTATAATCTCTAGTGCTGACCTCCCTGACACTAGAAGATATAATGAATATACATCGTAAGGGAAAGATTAATAATGTTTTGGTTTGTGTTGCTGTTATTTTTGGGATCAGTTGTTGAACATGTGAGCTGATAATCTGTTGTGGTTCCCAATCTCAACCAGACACCCAAGAGTCCTCCAAGAGATTTCCGGTTACGGTTCAGGATATATTACACATTTTCCTCATTCAGTCCAATTTACAAATTATGGGGAATCTTATAGGACTGTATGAGAACAAATTGTTAAAAAATGACTAGTTTATAAACAGAAAACCTGTATGGGATAAAACATTTATTAGATTAAGAGCTAGCACAGTTTGTGTATATTTGACTTGGAATTATTGTTACCCGTGACTAACAATATCTGTAAACCTAATGCTTCAATCAACCAATTTTTTTAATTAACATTTTAAAACTAATACAATATTTTTTTTAAATATTAAGATTTTAATATTATTTAGTATTTGCAGCAGATACTAAGATAATACTATATTAGTATGGAGTAGTATATAAGATATATATATATATATATATATATATATATATATAATAAGATTACAAAGACAAGACAAACACCAGCAAAATACTATAATAGTATATATTATTTAGTATTAACATGTATTGATATAGGATATCTTAAAATAAAAAATAATAATATATTAGTAATAACAGCAAAAATAATATTGCTGTTGTCATTATATTAATAAACGTTTTTTAAGATGTATTGATTTGCACAGGTTAAATTAATACGACAGTAACGATTCTGTTCTATTACGTTTTCATTACCTTGTACAAAACTGAAGCGTGTTGCTTTATATGACTTTTACTTTGAAGGGCCATTTCTGACGTCGCAACCAGGAAGTACCGGTTTCACAACAAGGACGGCAGCAGCTGCGCGTTCTCCTGACTTGTCAAAACTGTACGTTTGAGAACTTCTGGCTCTTTAATCTCTTTATCCATATGAAAATGACTGGTCGCTAAAGTTAAAGGCCTCAACTGCAGAAGGAAGCTCACAGTTTAAAATAGTCTTTGCGCCACATGTACGGCAGGTTACCGTAACATTGGGTTGGTTGACACTCTGGTTGTGTGTGCGCGTGTGTGTGTGTGAGAGAAGGGCATGGCGGGGGCGGCGGTGCTGAGGGCTCTCCGGACCCTGCGCCCCCGGACACCAGTCGCGATCCTAGGCAGGTTCCCGGCCCCGCTGGAGTGCGTCCTAACGCCGGCCTCACGCGTGTTGTACCCGCCGTGGAGGACCTCCACTGTCAGGACGCTGCAGCTGTGCTCCGCCTTATGTGCCGGACACAACAAGTGGTCAAAGGTGAAACACATTAAGGGACCTAAAGATGAAGCGAGGGGCCGGATGTTCATGAAGTTTGGTATGATGATAAAGATAGCGGTGAAAGGTGAGAGTAAACATTAAGAACCATTTCACTAACAGCTGGAGAGTTTTCTTGTCAACTGAAGCTGATTTCAATGTTGGTTTCATCTGCAGAAGGGGGCTCCAACCCAGACATGAATGTAAACTTAGCCCACATACTGGAGCAGTGCAGAAGCAAGAACATGCCTAAAGTAGCCGTAGAGGCTGCAATCAAGAGTGCGGTAGGTTGACAACACACTGACACAATACAAATGGGTGAGAAATTAATGAATAAACAACATATCAACAGAAGTCAGAGTGAGGTGTTTGGCCACTACAAGACATCTGAGAAGCTTAAATGCTCCTTGGCGTAGATTCTCCAAGTCTGCTGGTATAACACACCACATTCATGTCTTTTCTCTTGGCTCTACAGGAAAAAGCTAAACCAGCGTCCCAGCATATGTTTGAAGCTCGGGGGCCCGGTGGGTGTCTGCTGCTCATCGAGGTCCTGACGGACAACAACTCGCGTACCCACCAGGAAATCAAACGCCTGCTTAACAAGAACAGGTCAGGATTGGCTTTCCGTGATCTCACTCTGCTGACTCTAAAGCTGAAACACCCAGACGCACTCTCACCACACCGCTGATGGTTAATCTGCAGTGTTAACCTGATCTGCTGGACATTGAAGATCAACAGGCCAATACACAGATCAGCTATATAGGACAATAGAGGGGGAAGAATGCAGTAATGACAGCCAATGCATGGTAATCATGGTGCAATGATAATGGAGGTTGGTGTGCTAATGGCACTGGCCACTAGATGTCCCTGTAAAAACATTTGTCTTGGCTAACTAGCTGGTGGCACAGATGCAAACAATTTATGGAAATCAGCAGAAAGGACAGGTACAATACAGCACACATTAAAAAGAAAGAAAGCTAGTACAAATCAAATCCTGTATTTGGTTTACAAATGATCACATGATATAGTTTTTAAAGTACAATTCTGTCGTCTCACACTACTCACCCACAGAGGGATGCTGTCAGACGGAGCGCGCCACAACTTCAACAGGAGGGGGGTGGTTTTGGTGCCAGGCCAGAACGTCTCGACAGAGAGAGCTCTGGAGCTGGCCATCGAGGCGGAAGCCGAAGATGTCCAAGAGACCGAGGATGAGGAGGAGCAGCCCCTCCTGCAGGTCAGACATTAAGAGACATGAGGAGAGCAGTACAAACCTATGAGGGAATGTGTATTGTATGCCAAACATTATTTATTTTTACATCATTTTAAATTGTATATCTATCTTTTGTTTTGGACTGCCCATTGGACAAAACAGCCATGTAGTCATAACCTTGGATTTGTCACTATTTCCTCACACGTTATAGATTAAGTGATTAATGAACAACCGCTTTAATGAGAATGAAAATAATGAGTCGCAGTCATACCACTGTTTAATAGTGTGCTCTGTTCCTCTCAGTTTATTTGTGACATGGCAGAGGTGAGGAAGGTGCGGGCCTTGCTGGAAGAGCTGGGAATGCAGATTACGTCTGCCGGGTTGGAGTTTGTTCCCCGCGCCCTCTCGTCTCTGGACCAGGACCAGCTGGATGCTGCTTCAACACTAATAGAAGCACTCAATGACTGTCCAGACGTAGTTCGAGTCTGGGACAACATCCAGGCGGACAGCTGAGCACGGACACTTGGTGGACACTGAATAGCTCATATGTGGGATAGTTGATGTCACAGAGAAATGATACATGAACTACTTGTCAACACCTCATGCTGCTTTTCATTATCAGCCTGAAAATACGAGTGTATTGGTCATTTCAATGCTTTCTTTGTGGGACTTGGAAGTGAAATGTAATTGTGGTCCTTGTTCAAATCTAAAGTGATATTTCTTGAATATTTTCTCTCGTCAGCGTGTACTTAAAGAAGTTCATCAACAGCAGGACTCGAGCAAACAGAAGTGAAATAACGTCCATATTTGCATCTCTTCTTTTACGTAGACGCTGTAAAAACAGAGTTTGCCAAGCACGTCTTAAAAAAATGGTTAGCTAGTCATTCATCGGATCCTAGAGAAATGAAAATGTATTATCAAAGTGTAATTTCACTTTCATTATTTGAGGAAGGAAGCAATATTTATATATTAACAAGGATCAATTAAAAGAGCACTCATTTAAAGATCCTCTCTAGACATAAAAAAACCCTGAATAATAATTTGTTCAATTACCTCTTTAAAAAGGTATTAAATTACATCTACTACTCCTCTGTCACAATCCAGAATCTATGAATATGATCATTTATTATTATTATTATATAACTACTGAAGGTTTCTCCTACTTTACTGAAAAGTCCATTCTCATGTTATCACATCACACGTCTAAGTTAATATTGGACCGTATTTAGCACAAATATCCAAGAGAAGTAACACAAACACATTTAAAAGCTCTATATATATATATATATATATATATATAAAAACATACAGATGACTGAAGGTTACAGCTGAAGGACATTTGAGCCAATGTCATCACAGGTCATTACCCCCCCACCCCCCCTTATATCACTGTAGTGTCAACAACATTGCAGTCAATAAGCTCCCACATTAACAGTGTGCACACAACATATAGAGCGGCCACTATAACTTAAGCCAGCCGGGTTTGTTCCTTTCAACTAGCGTCATGTATGTCACAGCCTGAGCTGTATGCTAGACCACCAAACTGAACTATCCACTGTAAAGTTTCTGAGCCCATTTGCTCTGTCTATTAATACTCGGCATAGATTTTCCTGCCAGTTCCGCTCAGCTATAGCATGCCATTGATTGGTTTCCTGCGTTGGCAAATGTTGCGAGGCAACATGCGAGCTGCAGGTCCAGTCCTCCGCCCTGTGCCTCAGTGGAGGGTTCAACATCGAAGTCTGAATGAATGAAGTACATTTGTTCTGCCTAAATATGAACCATGAAAAGAGAAGAGTAGCTTTTTGAAAACACTTGTCCAAAAAGTGTCTTTGAGGATGGACATTTGAGTCATAGCTGTCTAGTGGTCAAAGCAAGAAGGATCTGACATTCTGGTTTCAAATCAGGTAGGTCGTGTTTATTTACTTTCAAAAAAACTTAATTTGACCAACTAGTGAGAGCTGAGAGATTTTTCCACAACGTAACTGCTAACTTCCCTCTGTACTAACACTGAGGGAGTCTAGTATTGTGATGATCCACTATTTGAGGGCAGAGTATTTTTGGGAGGGGCACAGCTACATGGGCATTCTGGGAAATCAGAGCAGAGAGGAATTTGTTAAGGGGGGGTACAGAATATCAAACGTCACTGAGTAGTTTATTTTTTTGTATTCTTTTTGAGATGTTCCAAGGCAAATTCAGAATAGAGAAATCAGAGGCAAATCTTATATAAATAAAGTTGAAGTCCAGTGCAGCAAGAAAACTACATCCTGAGAAAATGATTGCAGTGAATCGTGTTATTGAATACTATAATTGTAATTATAGTATTAGTAGGTCAATGTCTTTCAAGAACAATAAGATGAAGAAGCACAAAATAAGAGAAAATAAAGATCTCTTTGGAGTGAACATTTTTCTTAAAATGTGTTTTCTGATCACCTGTAAGCCAGCAGAGCTCCATGTCTGACTCAGACCTTATGAAGATTGGGGGACCAGCCAGCAAGGGCCCTGAATGCTGCTCACCTCCAGCTCCCAAAATGGAGCTCCTCAGCCCCTCCAAGGTGAAGGACCGCTCTCAGAACGTCACAGAGAAGGTCACACAGGTACGGGGGCCGAGAACCTCACATGGGCTGACAACCATGGAGGTCCTATTTAAGACAACCACCGAATTTCAAAACGCCCCACGATGCATTCACTGCTTGCCCGCTTCTGTCCGTCATTAAAGAGCTTCACGTTAATCACGTTTTCAGGCTCCCAGAACGTTGCCATGACGGAAGACTGATGTTTCAAAACCACTAGTGGAAAAATCAGTAGGTATTTGGTCGCTGGGTGTTTTTTCTTCTGGGAGTGAAGTTACATTGAGCCACAGTTCATTTCAGACCTACTGTAGTGACCGCTGGAGCCCTGGGGCTCAGCCTTCTGCATCACTGCTTCTGCGGGATGTGATGGATATGAAACAATCGCAACAATCGCTGACCTTGCTGCTTGGGGTCACTTGTTGATCCCTGTTAGTTTATTGGTCCATCTATATACAGTATTCAACTTGTTATTTATCTTATATACCTGGTAGATAGATCTGTCTGTCTGCAAGGTCAGCGACATTCGTCAGGGCTGCGAATGTTAATTTGAAATTGGGTTAAAGAGTACACGAGGACTGTGGAAACACATGAACTCAGTTGTGTGATTGTGACGCCCAGCTCATCATTACAGCCCTCCAGCACACGGCGCTCAGTTAGCTCTTGCGCGGCTGATTACAGCACACTATTGTGTTCGCTCTTTAACTATCTGAAAATAATTGCACTATCTGGATGTAATCTTTACTCAAGTCTCAGCCACTGTTGAGATTCACCAATGACAGGATGGTCAAGGAGTTGTTGGACCTACAAGGTCGCAAAACCAGGGCAAGCAGCGTCCACCGAGAATTTGGTCAAAATATGACATCTTCTAGAAAGGTCTGTGCGTTAGTATTAGTTCAGAGAATGTACTTGTTTTTCCTTCACAGCAAAAATTAAGAAGAATGCTGTTTTATGATTAGTTAATATAATGGTATCCATTTGCCAAAATGCAATAAAATGACAGTGCACAGATTTCACTATAGAAGATACAGAATTGAAGGACGTTCATATATGATAATCATTGCATACTGATGTATTCTTTTTGTTTAGGTACTTTCTTTGGAGTCTGATGTACTGCCTGAACACAAACTGCAGGTGCCAGAGACAACATGGTGGATCTTGCTTCATTACAGCCCCTTCAAGGCATTTTGGGACTGGATTATTCTCCTTCTGGTCCTCTACACAGCTGTTTTTACTCCTTACTCAGCTACCTTCCTCCTGGATGAACACGGGGAATTACGTCAAAAGGGCTGTGGCTACACATGCCACCCTCTGAATGTGGTGGACCTCTTGGTGGACGTGCTGTTTATTGTGGATATAGTCATCAACCTGCGCACAACGTACGTGAACCAAAACGACGAGGTGGTCACACAGCCGAGCCGGATAGCCAAGCACTATATCAAAGGCTGGTTCTCTATTGATCTGTTCGCAGCGATCCCCTTTGATCTTCTCATTTTCAGATCTGGCTCTGACGAGGTAAGAACTCTGCCTTAAGTGTCTAAACTTCTTTGAGTTCTCTGAAGTTACTGTAAATTGAATCTCTATTTCCCTGCCTTAACATCCTCTCCCTCTCTGTTGTTAATGGACACCAAAGATGGCAACTTTAACAAGTCTGCTGAAAACAGCTCGGCTGCTGCGATTGGTCCGCGTGGCAAGAAAGCTGGACCGGTATTCTGAATATGGGGCTGCTGTCCTGTTCTTGCTCATGTGCACCTTTGTGCTCATCGCCCATTGGCTCGCCTGCATTTGGTACGCTATTGGCTTCGTGGAGAGGCCGTACACGGAAACCGGCTGGCTGGACAACCTGGCTGAACAACTGGGCAAGTCATACAACGACAGTGACTCCACCTCCGGTCCATCGGTCAAAGACAAGTATGTCACTGCTCTTTACTTCACCTTGAGCAGTTTGACGAGCGTGGGGTTTGGTAACGTCTCTCCGAACACCAACTCAGAGAAGATCTTCTCCATCTGCGTCATGGTCATTGGCTGTGAGTTGAATAACGCTGAGAGTGCCTCCCCTTAAGCAAAGACACAAAACAAACTCTTCCCCCTTTTATGACCCTCCCTCACAAACAATGTTTGTGCAGTCCCTTATTATACAGAAACTATTTTTACAACCCCTTTTTAGGATTTAGCCCTCTGTGTCCTCATTGCTTCTTCTTTCTCAGCTCTCATGTATGCCAGCATATTTGGGAACGTGTCCGCCATCATCCAGCGGCTGTACTCCGGTACAACCCGCTACCACACCCAGATGCTGCGAGTGAAAGAGTTCATCCGATTCCACCAAATCCCCGGTTGCCTTCGCCAAAGGCTGGAGGAGTATTTCCAGCATGCCTGGTCCTACACAAATGGCATTGACATGAATGCTGTAAGTAAAAATTGACAGGACTGAGTGAGTCCCACTTTATCCTTTAACTGCTGTGAAAGTTGTTCAGTGTCCCCGTTTTGCATCTAATCGCTGATATGTTGATGGTCTTATTCAGGTGTTGAAGGGATTTCCAGAGTCTTTGCAGGGAGACATCTGTTTGCACTTGAACAGAACTCTGCTGGATAACTTTAAGGCTTTCCAGGGAGGCAGTCAAGCCTGTCTGCGAGCTTTGGGTATGAGGTTCAAGACAGTCCACGCTCCTCCAGGAGATACTCTGATCCACTACGGAGACATGCTGGACTCTCTCTTCTTCATCTCACGTGGTTCCATCCAGGTCATCAGGGATGATGTGGTGGTCGCCATATTAGGTATCTAACCATAGACGATTTGACCTCGGTGTCTCAAAAATGCTCCAAAAACCTCATCCACTCATACTAATATTGTTAATAATATTTATGCTTTTGCAGAAAAGAATGACATCTTTGGAGAGCCGATCCACCTGTACGATGAGCCGGGGAAGTCCAATTCAGACGTGTACACCATCACCTACTGCGACCTGCACCGCGTCCAGAGGGACGACCTGCTGGAGGTCCTTGATATCTACCCCGGCTTCGCAGACAGATTCTGGAGGAACCTGGAGATAACCTTTGACCTGAGAGATGTATGTTGGCAGTCAATTGAGATGGGTTTTTTTCTCATGAGACACAAAATATTTGACCATTTCTCTTTAGCATTAGTATTTCCCCCCCTCCAGAAAACAGATAGTTGGACTACTTCTCTGCTAGTTGCATTTTGATTGCTGTTGAAGTCTGTAAAGCCAAATTATATACCGTTTTACTTATGTGTTCTTCAGGCTGATCAAGTACCACCAATAATAACAACTGATGACTCCGGTGACGACTGTGGGTATCGCCACAAGCCAAGACACAAATGCCACTCCCTGGACTGCCGAATCAGGCCAGGTAAGATTTGTTACAGGGCTCTGGTTGGTAATCAGTGTGATAGGCTTCTAAAATAATCAGACTACCTTTGTAACCTAACATTTTTTTTTTTTTTTTTAAATGTATAGGTATTGATTTGTTTGGTTAACCTAAACTGGACTAATGTGGTAGTATTGCAGAAGGTATGAAAGAGTAATTGAATGCTTTGATGTGAACAGATGGAATCGATCAGGAAGACTCGTACCCTCTTCGTCATCGTCATTCACCTCCTCAGACTCAGTGGGACGACCGCTGCAGCTGTGGATCCCCGTGCTCCCAGTCCAGTGAAGACCTGGCTAAACCTCTTGACCACAGTCCCAAAGAGGAGCTTTACCCCCCAGAAGATCCCAGACGGGACTATTCCCCCTCTGTAGTGCAGCTGCTCCCCCAAAGTGGCACCTCAGTGGGGAGGGAAGCCGTGTTGGACCAAGGTAGATGGATGTTAATTGAAGTCTGTCCTGGACAATACATAAAGAGTGTTTGTTGAAGTTGTAAACATGCTATACAGCTGTTGATGGTGCGTAGTAAAAAATGTGGACATCACACTAAAAACGTCTTTATTTCTTCTCAGCTTCATCTGTGAATGTGCCGGGAGTGTATCGATACTGGCCTGAACGTCAGTCACAACCGTTTTCCACTCGAGCCTGGCGATCTTCATCCGTCCGCAACTCATACCACCCACCACCGTTCACAGAAGAACGGCCCAGTGAGCTCGAGTCTCGACTTGAGGTTTTACATTCACAGCTCAACAGGTGAAGTCAATGATGATGTCAGTATTTCGACAAGAGGCAGTGTGCGGTATAATGAGAAATTAGAGTCACTGGTAAAAAAACAAATGTTTAAATCCCAAGGCAAATGCTTAGAAATCCCATGTCTCTCATTTACTTAATGTTTCCATTCCATTGGCTGGAAAGAAGATTCTTGGATATTGTTACTTCACTTAATAGCCGTTCTCATTGTCTCTTAATTGCCCAGACTGGAGACCCGGATGACAGCCGACATCAACGTTATTCTGCAGCTTCTTCAGAGGCAGATCGTACCTCCTGCTTACAGCACTGTATTGTCAAGTACCCTCCCAACTGACTCCCCTGGTCTGTATGGGACTGGGACACCAGTGCTGCACAGCATGTATCCCATTACCCCCATACAGATGGACACCCGGGTACCCACACAGGTAGAGAATAATACTACTGCTCAGAGATTTGTTTCTAGAATTTTGCTTAAGACATCAAAATAAAAAAAGTGATTTCTTCACTCTAGAGCTCTGCTCAGACTGACCTTCAATTCACCGAGGAGTCCCAGGAGTCAGTGTCCAGCGGGATCCATGTGACTGTGGCGTCAGACGACACCATGTTCATGACCGCCACCCCTGAAACTGAGACCCACACAGGGCTGACTCCACAGCCGTCGGTCAGATCCTCCCTCATGGAAAGCCCCAGGCTGTGCTGCAGCCTCCGCTCCCCCTCGCTGCCAGGGAACCTGGACATCACCCCGGGACTCGCTGAGATCCAGAAACACCTCTCAGACCCCGTGCTGTCTGTCATCTGAAAACCTTCAGTAAAAGAGTTTTAGTGGCCACCAGAGGGACACTGAAAGTAGTGATAGACTGCTACTTGTAGTCTGAAAGGAACCGTGTGACTAGTCCAAGATTCAGCTATCATTACACATTTGGACAGCAAGTAAAGCAACTCGAAATCAGATGAAGGGTTTTCATTTCATACAGCGTTGATGCTGGATTACACCAAGTGGTGATTGCAACACAATTATCATACTTTTTAAAGAACATTTTCTAAAGTACAGCATGTGCGTGATAAGGAGAGCACACATTTTGTGAACATCTCATCCTGCTCCAGTAAATGTTGTGCATGCCATCCCAAAAGCTTGTATCTTGAACAGGAGCAGTGACTTCCTGGAGGCTCTAGTTACCCGACTAGACCTCCAGCTCACAACATCCTATAAAACCAGACGTTCCTCAGTCTTTGTGCTAAGCTAAGCTAACCTACTGCTGGCTCAGACACACGAGAGTGATATCCGTCTTCCCATCTAATTATCAGCGAAAAAGCTAATATGAATTTCCTACATGTCAAACGGTTCCTTTAAGAAAACCTAAAGACAATTTATGAAGTGATATATTTTCTAAGCGCTTCATATAATAAACATGTTTCCTCTCTGGTGCGTATACTATATAGAGTGGCGACCCTTTCTCTAAATCACCGCACACATTTCAGGCATTTCTTTACTGCGCTCTCTATTTAATTATTGGCCGACATCGGTGAGGCTTCATTGGACCCGATTAGTGAAAATGAATCATAAACAAGTGGTTTTCTGACTTTATGTTTAGCAAATAATCACACATCATGACCCCGTACTGAAACACCTACAGCAAGTAAGAAATAACTCCTGTTCACCCCGTCTACTCATCCCAATATCACAACAGAACTTAATATCACAACAGGACTCACAGCATTCGTTAAACAATGACAGTTTGAAAAAAAATAATAATAATAAGTACGTTTCTCTATATTGTAGGATTGTGTATGATGTACGTCAGGCAGTGTTCTCTCAGTATTAAACAGTAAATGAAAGAAAACACTTATTCAACCTATCCTTTCTAACTGTAAATTTGTACTATAGATTTTTAGCAATTTGTTGAGTCACCTCACTGTAAATTAATTGTCTTAATATAAAACTGTAGAATGGTTTAAACTGTGAGGGACTGTTTATTTATGTCACAAAAATAAATGGTGATACGAATAAAATAACTGGTGCGCAAATTACAAACAGAAATCTGTATTCTGGTCAACGGTTAAAAGGTGGGGTTGGTAATCTTTTCAAAAACATTTGAGATTGTTGAAATCTTCATTAAATCCTGAAAACAATCAATGAACCAAATGCTCTGATCACTTCTTAATAATGTTCAATCGGCCCCGATGTAATGGTTGGACGAGTCTTCCATAAACTGCTAGCTTGACAGCTGAGAGTTACTAACAATAGCCATGTTCGTTGTTTACATTCATTACATGTTTACATACATAATGATCATTTTGGCGGAGTGGCTACGGGCTGTCAGTGTTGCTGACTTTCCTGCTAGATTTGGCAACTTTTGGATGTTTGGATGATTGTAATCTAGAATAATCCTGCTAGACTACCAACCCTAGCTTTAATACCTGTTAATTGTTGCACATATAATGAATGTATCACAACAGATCACAAAGGATATTCAGTTGAATAGAACACATATTTAGGTTAAAAAACAATTGAATATATGAACATTTAAAACCACATTAAATCCACTCTTAAATGTGGCTAAACTACATTTCTGCTGCATCATAAAAATGAATGGTTGAGGATGTGGTAATGGGTAAACCTACACATACAATGCGCCATAATAGCGTATAAAAACATGAAACTGACTGAACTTTTTGTCCGTGAGACAACAAACTGAAAGCTTGAAGGCTATTGAACCTTGGTTCATGTCTGTACATTACAGTTCCTTACCATTTTTGTTTTGGCGCTCCTTTGAGTTTTCTGATACAGGACGTCTTGGTTTTGTATCACAAAGTCAAGAGCTGATGTACTCTCGTTCTCACTCAGTTGAAAAAAAGCTTTACACACATAACCTGTATCAACATGAACCCAATACGAACATGAACTGAATATCGCTCCGTCCTTCTTAAACAGCTTGTTAATTCAACCAACAATGTTTTTGAGTTGCCTCATTTCTTCATGACTGAAGCTCAGACTCTGAGGATTTCCAGGCAGTTGTTGTAGCAGATAGCGATCCAGTCGGGCTGGGTGGTGGCCCACTGGACATTATTGATCTCTCCCTCAGCTGTGTAGGCCAGTATAGGGTCCTCAATGGCCCGCGGCATCTGCTGGATGTCCCAGATTAGAGCCTGGTGGTCCTCCGCTGCAAAGACAGGAGGAGTTTCGATTTCAATTGATTTATCTTATTTTAACAGGAAGAAAATGATGTTACTAAACACTACATGTCACCGGCCTGATTCTGGTAAACAACAGTTTTTATCCCCACCAAGAGATCCTGTATTCAGTTGTAATTGTGAGTTTGTGTGTATGCACGCACATCTCTGTCTGTCTGTCCACCGCTAATCTCGGATACTACCAGACCCTTTTTGTGAACGTATTTTATTAACATCTTCTATTTCTATTGACTAGAAACTTGACATCAGAAGGTGTTCGGTTGTAGTTTTTTTTTGTCAATAAGAAGAATAGGTGTAAGAATGTCTCCTTGTCAGAGACAGAGAGGAGCACACTCTGCTCTGCCTGTTGCAAAATGTAGATAAATATTCACTGCTTTTTCATTGGTCCTCATCCTCGCGTTTCGGTGCCTACATAAACCCTTCAGGTGGCAGTTACCCCTGTGAGATGCAGCTGAGACGCTAGCCTGCATGGAGTTTGTATTCATTCAATCAAACATTACAGCAGCGGACACAAAGAGATGGAAACAGATGATCTGCTGTGGTGATACTAACGGGAGCAGCCAAAGAAGAAGGAATTCCCCCAGGAAACGGGTTCATCGTGGTGTTATGCTCTTTGCGCATTCTGCTCTGCATAATAAGACTGTCCTCGAATATTCTGAATTTGAATATAGAATATATGTATTCAAGATTCCAACCAACTGAATACCCCTCTGCTCACCGCTCACAGACTGAAGTAACGTGAGACGCAGAAGGTGAAACTTGTGTATTTATCGAAACAGAGCTTTGTTGACCTCTCTTGTGAAGCGTAAGACCAGCTCCCTCTTGTGCTCCTTGTCAGTTATTGCAGTGATGTTGCACACGTTGTTCTCCTCTCATGTTGCTACTGTGTGAAAATAGAATCTGCATACCTGCTGTACAGATGTGACAGGAGGAGTGCGGCGCCCAGGCGATTCCATTGACACAGGCCCTGTGGTTGTTGAGTCTGGCCACCGGAGTACAGGGCACACGCACATCTAAGATCACCACCTGAGGATAAGAAAAGATTATTGTACAGACATTAACAGGCAGCAAATAATATTGGACAAAGAGAGGCTTCATATATCTTTATGCCCAGTTTCAAATCACTCACACAAGTCAAGCCTTAAAAGAAGTCTATCAAAAATAAGTATGTTTTTTATGACTAAAAATCACCTAATATTGTCATTTTCCATACTTCGGGATTACAGCATGTTTCCACAAAGGGAACTAACCTCCATGCTGTCCATGGCCATGGTGACCAGGTAGTTGGGGTCCTGCTTGTTCCAGCAGAGCCGGAGCAGTGGGTGGTGCTGGGGGTCTTCGTAGATGATGGTGCTGTGTTCAAGGTGACGGAGGTCGAACATGCGAACTGAGCCGTCTGCTCCCACTGATGCAAACATATCCCGGCCACCACCCGCCCGGCTGAAAGAGATGTCGTACACCTGCAACACAACCAGACAGTGAGTACTGATCAGATGGAAGATGGGAAAGTTACCCCAGGATTATGTTTAACATAATAACTTGAGGGTTTGCTCCGTGATGTCGTAACATTCACCTCTTTGTCATGGGCAATGAGCTGTGTCTTCACGTGACCCGACACTAAGTTGACCCTGCCCAGCACCTGTCCAGTTTCCAACCCCCAGATGGTACAGGTGGTGTCGATACTGGAAGTACCTGCGTAGAAAACACAGACACACAAAGTCATCCCCCTTTTCAAATAATGACTTCATATTCGTGAAGGTCGTATTGATAATGTTACCCAGAGGGAACCCTGCACTGAGTTTTTACCTAACAGGTTTGGGTCCACCTCATTCCAGTCAAAGGAGGTGAGTGGTGCGCAAAAGTCAGAGTTCTTATTATTGTTGAGCAGGCACTCCAGTCGGGTCTCTGTTTCGCCCACCTGTCAGGAGAAACGCATTTTATTCTGAATAGTTGGGCACTTCAGTGGGTTCAAACACAACACATATTTTTTTTACATATTCCATTTTCAATTGTAAAGAAATGGGATAAAGTAATAATAAAAAAAGAGAAGTATGGTAGCAAAACTATTGGTTTGCATGCTTATTATTGTGGGCTTCACTATAGTCTTCATAATCGGTCATAATGTCGTAAAGTTATTGTTGTTTCAGACAGTATTCCAGAAAAAGAAATATTAATAACCAGTGTAATAACATAGCGTATCAATGTATCCCAGAATGTTTGTCTGTAAAATTCAAGGAGCCGTTTCGGTTTCTGTGGCGTTTGAGAGCTGTAGTTAGAAGCTGGACGCCTGCACCACATGGTTCATCCTGAACATGGAGTGTGGATAAACAGTACAGTATATCATGCCTAGTGGTGATTATCTTATGAGGTCTCTGACTACAGGGGGCCATAGGTTCAGGTCAGACTGGTCCTCTTACCCTCCAGATTCTCAGGTAGTCCCCGCTGGTGGCCAACAGGTCCGGGTACACCCCTTTGCTGTCTGGGATCCACATCACCTTGGTGGTGGGGTAGGGGTGGTCGAAAGTGTTTCGACACACAAACTCAGAGTTCTCCTCCTCCAGACCAACTATCTGGACCTGTAAACAAACAACAACAACTCACCTTGAGTGAGTCAGTAGCGTTACTGAGACTGAGTACAGTCAGTCAGGGGTGTAACGGTGGTGATGATTCAAGGGATCCTCAGATGGGATAATCCAGTTAGAGAGATACATTATATTACCCCCCCCCCCACACACTTTATATTCAACCTGAACATTGTCATTATCGTGTCATATTTTCCAATCCTTCGTAATACCACCATATGTCCCATTTTCGCCTGTGCTGATGGCAACTTATTCAATTAATATATGTAGTTTGTATTCACAGCTATGCTAATCACCGTTCTGTCAACAGAAAATTGACGAATGAAAATTGTAATAACTAATTGACAGTTAAATAATCTGAAAAAAGTCAGAAGTTAGTAATCAAACATACATTAAGACATCATCTTGGTAATGGTTGGGAATTTGTCAGCACTGCTTAATTATTCCGGGTCCTGATTTATATTAGTTCTTTACACACAATCTAAAATCATAACATTTCATAATAAAACAGTTAACACCAATTCTAGTAATACAAGACAAAATTAAATAAAAGAGCAAATTCAGAAAATAAGACATTTCAAGTGAAAAAGAAAAAACTCAAGTCAATATTTATGTATATATAATTAATTAATAACACCACTAACCTGTTTTCACATGTCTGCGACTCACTTCCCTCATTGCATTGCAAAGGAACATGTCTTTAGATTCATGCAAACTGCTCCCTTTAATCATCACAAATTACATTATAAAGACAGTTTGATATTACTGTCATACATTCTAGTTGAATAGTCCCTTTAATGCAGAATCAAATCATTATATATATATATACGTGTATTTCCCAATTAAATCTAACATAACGTTGGTCAACATACTGTAAACCGTTACTTTCAATTGACAGGGGGCCTGGAGCGAGGGGGTTGCATTTCTACTGCAAATAAATATCATACTTTTTAATTCCTAAATCTCCTTCGATCAGTAATACTTAAGGTGCAAGTACAAGAGTGTCGCCATCACTGGTCTGCAGCATGGGACAAGATGAGTTTACCTTGTTATTGTACTCCTCCACAAAGCTACCGAGCGCTAGGCGGAACCGTTTGTCCGGTCGGACACTCCAGTTCATGGCGTACACTGTCCATGGCGCTTCGTATTTGTAGATTTCTTTACGTTTACCGTGTAGCGACATCTTCAATGCGTCTAGAAATAACCTGTGTTGGAGAAATTACCAGCAGGAAAACAAGACCCTGAGAGCGTCGCTACGACCACCTATGCTAGCTTATTTTGCAAATGGACGTTAGCTAGGCAGCTAACTTATTGTCTCCGCTGACTGTGATTTCTACCGTAGTAAGGTCGTTAATGGTCGAGTCCGTGTAATCCGGAAGCTTTCCTAGCGGTAAAAGCTTCACGGTAAAAAAATAAAAGATATCTTAAATGTATCAAATTAACCGCACACAGCTGCTCAAAGATGTTCGTAGCATGGCAGCAATGGCGGCGACAGGAGGACAAAAATAATGCACCGTTGAGCGTCATCGAGGATGCTGGTGCTGCCTTTAGGAGCCGGTACGAATATTGTATATCAGATCAGAGCACAGGCGGCCCACGAAGTAGTTCTTGGGAAAAATAAGAGTTTGATACTCGACTTTGTGAGAGGTTTAAGTGGCACTCAGTAGATAAGTAATATGGTATTGTGTTTGTGATTTTTCTGCCCACAACTTGAATGTCAACGAGTTCTAGATTTACATACAAGCTCACAGACCGAGAGTTTACGACAAGCACTTGAATGCAGCATTACAGTGGCTGACATGCTGTGGTCCTCCACACTTTAGAAGCTGTCTGACAATTTCAGCAAAGAATAATCTGTCCTTTTGCATACAGAAATGTTGAGGCATGTTGTTCCATGTATTTTTCCAATTGGGAAATATATCTATTTTGAAGTAATTTGTTGACATTTCTCCCGTTCTCCCCTGGCCTGCATCTAGTGGGACCCTCCCCAAATGCCAGCAGAAGCCATGAGGGAACCACTTGTTCCTCTCACCTGCGTCTTGGCCTTGGATCTTTTCAATCCTTCACTTTTGGCTGTGATAGATCATTTAATCCAGTGTCCTCAGATTAACCTCAGCAATATTTGCAGGATGATTCGTCAGCAATGACAGCACGTTTGTAAAACTCAGCTCTGACACCTAATTTGCATGTACAGGATGTTTAGGTTGCCACACACTTTGGTTCTTTCCACCTGCTAATAGCTAAAACAACAAAGGTTTTATAAATGAGTTCCCACAACACATTGCTTGCAAATTCTTATGATATTTGCATCACTCTTGATTATTAGAGGTTAAAGGATATTTTAGGTCATACATTCTTCAACACCTTCACTTCAACATTACAATATTTACTCATCTCAAGGTTAATGTATGGTGGACCTAAATGGAAATGTTTGCTCTCTGGTGGCACCTATTCTAGTATATGGTCTATGATTATCATATGACCTAAAATCTGAGGTCGTTTATCTTCCCTTTTTAGCCATACAACTGGAATAAAATTCAATCTCCTGTGCTCTGTGGGTCAGCTCTTAGATTTGATTTAGGTCTACACACAAACAGCTCCCACAGATGTCTGACATCAAGGCAACACGACACAGCAGCACGTCAGTAAAATCTTTACTACAAAACTTCATAAAAAGGTACAGCATGTGTAGTATGCAAGGTTCTACCTTGTAACATTTCATCCATGTTTGTAAATATATTTTTTGCATGCTCTAATGTACTATATCTGTGTCTCTTAGATCTTTACCACTCTGCTCAATAATGTTGCCTGGGATGCATCTTCGTTCCATGCGTCTGTCCAACAACTCCATCAACAACAATGATTTAGTTGAGTGTGAAGGCCTTGAAGAGGGCAAATATATTTTG